CTGCCTCCTAACTGACTGGGCAGGAAGGGATGGAGGAAGGAAAAAAGAGACTGAACTCCATCATCTGAAATGCTACCTCAAGGTTGGAGGAACAGACCTGTCTCTGACTTATTGATGAGCCACCTCAGACCAGCAAGTTCTCAGACTGGTGGCAAAACCCCAAGGGACCACACATTCCCTACCCTGCAGATGACATGTAAAAGCCTTCACTCTTCTCCAGACATTAGGAACTAGGTGGCCCACATCCACTTCCAGAAGCCGAGAAGCCCTCCCGTCTCCCATCCTTCTAAGCCATGCAGATCAAAGCAATCTTCTCAATCCCTCAGAGGACTGGACTCTAAGCATGTTTATAAGCATCAAGCGTGGCTGGACGGCCCACAGGAAACCGCTGTCCCAGTCCAGCCGAGGCCTCTACCTAAGGGCTCAGGCCCTCGTTCTCCAGACCATGACCACTTTTTTCTAAATTGTGAAACAGAACTTGGTCCTCTTTCCGGAGAGAACGCAACATGTCTATTCCCAAGCCCCACTGCTTCTCTACAGAGTCCTCAAGAGCCAGAGCCATTTCCTACTGCTTCTTCACATACTCCCCAGGACAGAATCGTCCTGTGTGTGTGGAAGTTAATGAATGGTGTGCGTGCACACACATGTGCTGTGCCCGAGGGACGATAAAGCCAGCAAGCCAACACATTCATCGAGGAAGTGCTGCTCTCAGTCCCACCATCAGGAGTTTGCTTGGCACCAGCCCACGTTTCTTCACATCTCTGAAACTCAATCTTCTCAGCTCTGATATGGAAATCATAATAGAATACCTCACCGGACTGCTATAAAGATTGGGTGAGATAATGTGCATCAGGTGTTTAGAACAGTGCCCAGCTGTGACATGTTAGCCAGTCATTCCTCCGTCCCCTCTCCAGCTGGCTCTCTCTGCTCCATTCTACTAAATCCTTCTGAGCCTGCCTCAAGGCCTCTGCATGTGCCTGAATGCCTGGTCTGTTCCTCCCTCCCTCCTTCCCTTGTGCTCTCACTCATGTCTCTGCCAGGGAAGATGTCAGACAATGTGAAGTCTACCCACCCCTTCACAATCACAATCATTGGTATCAGTGCAACTTCTTGCTCAAGATCTGTTAAACCCCCTCAGCTACAAGCTATTCAAGGACGGGGACCAGCTCCCCCAGTGCAGCCAAGCTGTTGTGCTAGGATCTTTGACCATCAAGAGAGATTTACCAATGACCTAAAAAGTGACTTCTGTGCAAATGCCACTCACCCACAATCCCTTAACTGCAATTCCCAAGCCCAAAAAGCCCTGAAAAAGAGAAGCTTTCTACACTCATTTGGCAGCAAAACCTTTGGTGAAATCTGATGTGATCTAATGTAAGGCTATTTATAGTATTTATTATCCATTTAGTGTGACTATTTATACGTTTGCCACAGAAATCAAGATGCTAGATTATCGTGTGCTGTTCCACACTTCATACTATACCATAAATGCACCAGATCATCTTTTTAAAATCCAAAAAAATTCTAAATTCTGAAACCTGTCCAGCCCCAAGCATTTCAGAATTATGAAAATCGAAGAGACAGTTACTCATTCACTGCCACAGTCCCATTTCAAGCCCTTGAACCTGAACTCTCTTTCCTTACGCGATACTGTTTTAAGCCTGAGCTCTTGATGTAGCTTCTCAGCTGGTCTACCTAACGCCAGTCTTGCTCTCCCCTAAGCAACCTTCCCAACGGCACCAAGCATCCTTCTTTCCTAGAGTGCCCAGCTGGTCACAACACTAACCTGCCTTAAAAACCGGCAGGGGCTACCACTGCTCACAGAATTAAACTCCAATTCATTACGACACACAAGGCCTTCAGAACAAATTAACTCCAGCATCCTTTTTCAAGCTCACCCCCAGCCATTAACCTCTGAACCCCATCTCTGGCTTCAGCAAGCTACTTATTTCCCCCAACGAGTACACCTATGTGCTGCAGTCTTTGCTCCAGCTGTTCCTTCATCCTGAAACATCACCCAAGGACCCACTGTCGGAACTCGCACACCCTTTCGAGCCCGGTTCAGCAAATCCTTCCGTAACATCCCAGGTAGAGCCAGGCCTTCCCACAACCACCCTCACACCACACGCTCCCCACACCTCCTGTTTCTCCCCTTCACACTGTAACAGAATCTGTGGCTGTGCTCACGTGCTTCTCACTTTACTCCTGAGGGAAAAAGCCCTATGACCTTTAACGCTATTACAGGGCTTGACACACATATGAAGTTCAAGTGGCTAGCTGGCGGACTGCTTGCATTATTAGCTGAATCAGGGAGAAACCAAACCAGCAGCACGAGAGTGAAGGAGTACATTTTCCGAAGACGATCACCACATATCCCACCCCACGTGTTCTTACAAAAACGTAATGCCATTCTTCCCACTAGAAGAACGCGGGCGATGCGAGGTCTATGCTCCCTCTTTGATCTGTGGCTATGTGACCACGCATGATTCGCAAAACTAGTCCACGGAAGGCAATACAGTTTCCACCAGTTGCTCCTGAGATGCATGCTCTTTGAATGCGGCCACAAAAGTTGGAGGAAGCCCAAGCCACAAGGACAGGCCACCCACAGGTATTCCAGTTCACAACCCAAGCTAAGGTTCTAGCCAACAGCAAGCATCAACAACTGGACATGGGAGGAAGCCTTTCAGATGATCCGAGCCGTGGCCACATCCGACTGCAACCACGTGAACGACCACGAGCAAGAACCACAGAGCTAAGATAGGAATAAAATGATTCTGTTGTTTCAAGCCATTAAGTTTTGAGGTGATGTGTGATATAGTAGTAAGTACCTGAAATAATGAGTAAAACAGAATCTAAGTACCCCTGATAAGCACAGCACTGCTCCTCCTGTCCTCTGTGCTCAAAGCCCCAAGTCCAAAATCTGAGGGTCTGCCTCTACTCATATTCCCTTCCTTATCAATAGCTATTACTGAACAATAAAAACATCTAATGTTCAATAGCTATCACCTATTCTCTCTCACAGTTTCAACAGGTCAGGAATTTGGACAGTGGGGCAGAGCGGATGACCTGTCTCTGCTCCATGACGTCTGGGACCTCAGCTGGAAGACTCAGAAGCTGGGGGGTGGACTCTCCCTCAAAGGCCTACTCGGTCACACGTCTGCAGGTTGATGTTAGCATGCTCTGATGAAGTGCCAGCTGCAACACCTCCACGGGGCCTCTTCACGTGGCCTGGGCTTCCTCTGAACTTGAACTTGATGGCTGGGTTCCAAAGATGAGTGTCCCAAGAAACAGAGTAAACCAGGTGACACTGTATCCGTATTACAATCCAGCCTTGGATCCCTTCTGCCTTTTACTCATAGGTCAGAGGAATCATGAATGCCTGCCCACACTCAAAGGGAGAAAACCACAGATCCCACCACTGGTGGGTGGAGAACAATGTCCAGTTGTAACACCAAGTGGAATGGGACATCTGTGGGGAGACCATTTTGGGAAAATACAATCTGCCACACCTTCCTTTTCTAAAATAGAACAAGAGTCCTTAACCCTAACCTGAGCTCCTGATGTTCTGTTATTAATGACATTTGCCTGCAAGGTGCAGATTCAAAACTAGTTCTGGCTTTAAAATTAAAAAAAAACAACAAAAAAACAAAAAACTGTTCTGATCTGCTAGAGTTCTCACACTCCTTTAGGGAAGTGGCACAGTTGATCCACACCACCGAGTACAAAAACATCTGCACCGTGGTGGAAGATAAGTGAGCATTTTTAGTGTGTAAACCCTTAGCCCAAACCCAGGAGGCTCTGAGCAGGTCCCAACTCCCGTGGGTCTCAGTTTTTTTCCTCTGAAGGACCGCCTAGAAGCTGTGATCCCTTTCCAACACCCTGATTCCATGGTATTCTGCAGCCAGTCCCCACTCTCTGGTAAAACTGTATCTTAAACAGCAAGAGAACACCAGATAGTTAACTTCCCTTCATGAGCAATAATGGAGAAGTCATACTTAGCTTCAAAAAAAGTATGGGAGTTAAAGTAATATTGCAGGCTTTCCCTTCTATCTTTGTCTTGCTTACCATGTTAAAAAACATTGCCTAAAAAATCCCAAGTACAGAATACACCTCAGATAATGGAGACCTAATTGAATTACTTTCTCGTTCATTATTAGACCTCTGCTAGTCTCCTGCATCATGTATCAGGCTCCATACTTTCACAAGGACGGAAGAAATGAAAAGAAGTCAGGGGAGATACACTAAATAATTCAGGAGCTTAGAGAGTAAGACCTAGGAGGAAGGGATGCAGGTTACTCATTCTGAAAAAGAAAAGGCTAAAAGGAAGGACGATGTTAGTGCAGCAAAAAGTATGAAAGCCTGTGAAACGAGGTAACCCTGGGCAAGTCACTTGACCCACTTGTGCCTTGGTTCCCTTAGTTGAACTGAAAAAGAGGTGATTTGGATCTTCCCCAGGTTCCCTGGTTTCTGATGACGAAAAGGACAGGACAATTTCCCCCAATGTCCCAAACCGGAAGTGAGTTTAAGGTGTCACATATGCCCCTGGGGTTAAACATAACTACAGTGCTTTCTAACTCAGGAAAGGACACAGAAGCAGGAATCCAGACGAGCTCCATGGTCTCCAGGAATGGGGTCAGACAGGGGTGATTCACCATGGGAGGCGGGCTCAGGGGATGTAAGCATCTAAGAGAAAAGGCTCCATGGTCTGAAAACTGTTACAAACGACAGAAAACAAAGCTGGCTCTCTCCGCCAGTGATGACCTAAAGCAGAGTGATTAAGCAGGCCACAGGGGCAAGGGTTAACCAAGGTGGAGCCTCACCCTGGGGCTCGCTGTTCAGTACCAACGCAGATCAGCTGGCCACACGGCCCCTCTGCTCCAGTCTGTAAGATGGGGGCTCTGTACGTCTCAGAAGCCCCAGACTCCGGGGCGCCTGGGTGGCTCAGTCGTTAAGCGTCTGCCTTCGGCTCAGGTCATGATCCCAGGGTCCGGGGATCGAGCCGCACATGGGGCTCCCTGCCAAGCGGGAAGCCTGCTTGTGTTCCTGCTCTCGCTACGTCTCTGTCAAATAAATAAATCTTAAAAAAAAAAAAAAAGAAGCAGCCCCGGACTCCACACACGTCAGCGAACAGGTAGGAAAAAGTTTTCTTTCCAATTTACGTATTTTCACATTGAGTCAATTCTTCCTTGCGGCTGAGAAAGAACCCCAGTAACTGGTGGAAAGGACGCTGGGGTGGGGTTGGGCGAAGGCCGCCACCCCCCCTCCCCGCCCCCCAAACCTTCCGCGGTCATCCCACCTCCCACCTCCCCCGGCCCCGCACCCACGCACGCCCTACCACCGAGCTGCACACCCGCCTCGCTCCCCGCGGAGCCCGCCCTCCTCCAGCAGCTGGAGGCCCGGGATTCCGAGAACGGAACGCGGAGCTCGACTTCCCGGCTCGGGAGCGGTGCGCGGCCGAAGCCCGGGGCGGGCCGGGCCGGGTCCCTCTCGCGGGGGCTCCCGGGCACGGGGCTGTCGGGGGACACGCGGCGCTCGGAGAGGAGCCGCTTCGCAAGCCGGGACCCGAGCCCCGGGAGCGCCCTCGCCGCTCCGCGGGGCCTCCTGCGGGCGGACCTCCATCCGCTCCCCGGGACAAGCCTCAGCACGGACGGACGCCGGCGTCCGGGCCCCTACTCACCAGGTCCTCCCCACCACGCGGACCTGCGCGTGGGCGGCCCCGGGGCGCGGGGAACGAGCCCGGTGCCCCGGCGCGTTCCAGCGCTCGCGCGGCCGCCGGCGCCTTCCTCCCGGCCGGCCCTTCCTCCCCGCGCCGGGCCGGCCCGCCAGGCGAGCAACGTGGCCCTTCCCCGGGACGGGCGGGGCGCGGAGGCCGAGGGGCGGGACCGGCCGCCCGCACGCGCCGGGGGCCCCGCTTCCCCGGCCCGCCTCCTCCGCCCGGCGCGGCGGGCACCCGCCGTCCGGACATCCCAAGTTTTGCGGGTCCTGAACTTCAGGAGGCGCTGTGCTGACAGCTGTTACCCTGGGCCCTTCCCCGCTCTCAGTCCCGACCCCTCAGCCCGGTCCGGTCGAGACCTCGGGAGTCCTGCCCTCCCCAGCCCGAGCCCGGAGCCTCACAGAGTCGACGCGGAGAGCCCTGCCTGAGGTAGGCGGGGCAGCAGATGGTGCGTCCACCAAATCCAAGGCCAAGTCTGGGGACCGCGCTCATCAACCTGCTGAACTCCAGCTTCCGGGAGGGAGGAGTTGGGGCAACAGAGGGGCCGCAGGGTGCAGGGATGTGAGAACAAGAACCAAGGTGCCAAAAAAGCAGCCAGAGAGGAAGCACCTGCTGCCAAAAGCAGAAGGGGGACAGCTGTTGTTCTTTTTGTTTTTCACTTTTTTGGTTTTTTTTCTTTCCAGGTGGGTAAGGAGAGCTGTCCACTCTGAGTACAGGAGCACAGGACAGACTTGTCCCTGGGGTAAGAACCATGAGACCTAAGGAATAAAGGACGTAATCTCAGGATGATGTGGTAGCCCTGTGAAAGGGGGTGAGGGAGCCCCCAAGGAAAAGCCTTGTCTGTGTCTGATCCTGGGAAGTGAGGGTGGGGAACTGAGAACTACTGGCTACTCCTGCACAGCCAGTCTAGGGCCAGCCCGACCAAAGTGATGAGGACTCGGTCTACAGGCACGAGGCCCTCCCCCAACCCACTTCCCTCCTGTGTTCGACACAGCAGGCAGGAACTTAGCAGTGTGTGGTTACTGACTCGCTCACTAACTTGTTTCTACCCGAAACCAGGAATTATGAAGGGTTCTAGAGACACAAAAAGGCAGGGCGTGCCCTAAAGGCTCCCCCCTGCCTGGGGCTAAGGAAATAAACCAAGTGCACAGAGGCCTCCGCATGCAGAACCCTCCCAGCAGCTCTGCAGAGTGTGCATTATCATCCCATTCTACACATCAGAGGTGTGAATCTCAGAATAAGTGCCAACTGGCTGAAGGTCCCAAGAACTTAGTGAGGGGTATGGCCAGATTTTAGACCCAGGCATTTCTGCACTCATTCCTTCCACTAACACACCCTTGAGTGCAAATGCTCTCAGATGGCTGCGTGTCCAGCATGACAGGCGCACAGTGGGGCAGCAGGGAAGGCTGCCAGAAGCAGCTGGAGCCTAGCCCTGAAGAAGCAGAGTGAGAAAAGAGCTGACACCTCACTGAGGCTGGACGTGTGTGTGTGTGTGTGTGTGTGTGTGTGTGTGTGTCCCCAAGGTTTCCAGCTGAGCTGACTGCATGGACCATGGCAGGAAATGCAAGCCCACGCCCATGTGCCAGCCAGTAGCCACTGTCTCTGCATCTCTGCCCTCTCTTTATGCTTTCCTTACGAAGGGAGTTGGGGGATACGGGAGACCTACACACTCACACTCCATGTCAAAGTAAGAAGGAAAATGATAATTCCGAAAAGTGTAAAAAGCTGGGAAATACTGGTTTGTAGATACAAGATATCAGGAGCTAAAATCACCCTCCAGGACAAAGGACATGGTAGGATGCTGAAAAGTGGGGCAGACCAACCAGCCCATGAGATGTCACATTCCCACCTCTAATAATAATCCTTCTCTATCCGAAGGCAGTTCAATGGGGACAAAATGGGGAACTGTTTGTGCACCAGAACTCAACATCCAATGATGTTGGATGTTCAACAGTCCTTTGTTGAAATTCCAAGGCTCACAGGAAGATCTAACGGTAGAAATTGCCCGGCTGCAAAAGGACTGTCCCAAGCAGAAAGAGCCTGGTTAGAGAACTGGTTTGGGCTGAATTCTTGGATGGAAACAAGAGAAAACATTTGGTCTGAGAGGTAAGAAGCCAGGGTGATAGGTGCCACATTGACCTGGGAAAAGAAGTCCTGGGCTTCTGATGGAGATTTCATGAGGAGGTGTTATGGAGGGGAGAAGGGGGAAGAAGGACAGAAACAAGGAGCGAGGTACCTGAATTCTGGGAATGAAACTGAAATTGGGATATATGAAAATGGAAGAAACAGGAAGATCTGATCACAAGATAAGAGAGAATTAGAAGCGAAAATACTGTATCCTGCCCACCCCCACTACCTCCAAAAGAGGACTGGAAAGATAAGGAGAAGGAAGTGAAAATTGTTTCAATTGCCTTCCCATAAACCATACCTAAGATACCCTGAATTTTTTTTACAATTTGGAACGAATTCATGCTCTGAACTTAAAAGACAGATCTTGGCTGGAAGAAGTAAAATCAAAGTTTTAAATCAGTGTTGTGTCTATTTTTCCCTCTCCCATTCTCCCAACATCCCCACACCCCTTGGAGACCCAGAAACACAGCTCATCAAGAACAAAGAAAGGAGAAAAGATTAATACAAGGACCAGTGAACAATGTCTGTGAGATGAGACTTCTGGTTATAGCCACATACAATTCCTCTTGTATGACAGAATGGTATGAATAAATTCAGTTAAAACACATCTACAGCTTTTGGTTAAGTCTATCACTGGTCCTGGCTGAGTGGTCTGAGATCCTGGAACCCCTGTGAGAAGGCTATCTTGTGACAGGGTCAGGCAGAGCACAGGACTAGTACTTTCGGTGAAAATGACAGGGGAGAGGAATTCTGGTTCAGTCTAGGGAGGAAAGGTCTTACCAGAGAGGCTGTCTGACGGGGCACTGAATTCCCCTCCCTTAAGGTTTGCAGCAGAATGCAGATGGCCCTCACAGTATCTGTCTGTCCACACTTAGGCAAGCCCTTTGTGCTCAAGGCTTCTGTAGCTTCCCCTTACATATCAAACTGGGGAAATAATCCCTGCTCTCTCTTCCTTACAACAGTGTGGTGACAGAAAAGTGACCCAGCAGCCTGGACACTTCACGTAACATAAGTGCCATATAAATATAGCACAACTCTGTGCACTCACAGGCCTTCCAGGTAAGATGAGGGCTGCAGATGCATTCTGGGACCAGATACCCCTTGCAAGGACTGGCACCAGGAACTTGCTGGGCCAAGCTGGGGGAAGTGACATGCCACCCTGAAATCTGTACCTTCTGAAGTAGAAGCCTGGGCTGAAAGGTACTGCCCCAAGCCAGCCTCAGATCAGAGAAGGAACAGCTCACCACTGGGCTGGTGAAGGAGGGGGAAAAAAAGAAACAAGTCGTAAATATATGATTTTCAGCTTGCAAATGACCTTAGTTATTGCTGCCAACCCCAATGAATGTGAGCTCCAGGTATTACACAGCTAGTAAGAGGCAAGGAGATGCTAGAAGCCAAGCTTCCTGCCCTGTGCCCCCAGGCCACCGTACCCCACTGTCTATCAAAATTCCCAACACACCTCCTCTCTGTTTGTTGTCACTCAGAAAAGCAGGTATCTTGGCGTAGGTAAACTGGAGTTCAAGGAAGGAGCAGGAAGGAGGTGAGAAGGTAACTATGAACAGGTCTTTGGAAAGAGAGCCTGCAAAAATATAAAGGCTAAGAGATGGCAGTCCAAAAAAACCTGTCATCTTCAAGAGCAGGAGAGAATACCAGGATATGGCACAGGAAGAAAAGGCCCAGCATTTACTCCAAGAAATGGAGCTCCGTCTCCTAACCACACACTTGGCCCTTGAGACTTGGACTTTCCTCCACCCCTCTTTAATCTGCTACCCCAAAGAGGGACACTTATCATTAAGTGTGGAGAGCCCTGAGGACCAGAATCCCTCCATCTAAGTTCTCCTAGGACCCATACACCTTTTCCACCATTTGATGGTCCCAGGTATTGTTTAACAGGAACAAGATGAGACAAATTCAGGCCAGGCTTTTAATTGAGGACATCCAAGGGTTTTGCCAATACACTAATTCAATAAGAGAACAGAACTCCTAATTCAGAGTTTTTTTGGATGTACTAATTATACAAGCATCATGAAGCAACGTCAATGGTACTGTTTTCCATGGACACGGCCCTGGATACTTTTCAAAATCTGTCATTTCATTTGCTTCCTGTAACAACCTGTGAGGGACCTGTAAAGTTAGTTATCCCCATTTTACAGGTGAACAGAACATGGCAGAGCTTAACCCATATATCTAGGGTTGCACACTAAGAAAGTCAGAGCTAGAACAAAAATTCAACTGATCTCAAACCTGTATTCTGTTCCTCCGCTATCTGCATAAGGTTTCATGGCCTAAACCCCCTTTAGAGGCAGGAGGAAGAGAGACAATTTAGGAAGTTATCTAGACCATCTTCTACCCTCCCCCACGGCAGTTCTATTAGTTAGTTCCCCCAAAACACAGCAGCCTGCCTCTGCCTAGGTAATCCATCCTAGAGTATTACTTAGCCCAAAATGTGTGGACTCAGTGTTGGCCCTTATAAATAATCCAATCTCTAATCTAACCTCTCCTCAGAAGCCTGAATCCTTTTCACGTTCTCCTAGGCCTAACTTCACAACTGCATTGCACACAACCCCTTACAAGGTACTCCTTCTGCCTGGGTAAAGACAGGCTGGGAACAGTCTGCACCCTGAGAGAGTGGAACAGAGGTGAAGCTTCCTGCGTACCCATCAGGGTAGGGTTCTCATCAGGCACGTCCTAAATGGCAGCGTCCCCGGGTTTGCCCCACTCAACATTCTCTGCACGACAGGAGCCAGACACCCCGTGGGAAGTGAGGCAGGAACCTTACCTTTCTTCTCTCAGCTGCTCCCCTGGAGATCATCAAACCCCCTTCCAGCACTCCATTTCCAAAACTTAGAATCCCAAATCAGATACACCAGACAAAGCGCAGCTTCTCTCCTCTTATCCAGGTCCAAAGTCCATGGCTGAGCGGACTCTGAGGGGGAGGAGTCTGGGGGGGAAGGGGTATGTCCACGCCCCTCCCCCCCCACTGCAGGGTTCAGTGTCCCTCCCAGGGGTCTGTTACATTCCTTCATTCAGCTGGCTTATTAAGCCCCGAGTCTGGTGTTGGGCAGATCCCAGGTTCTATCCCATCTCTCGCTCAGGGAAGGGAAGTCATCCACTGTGAGGACTGGCCGGTCCGTCTTCTGCGGGGGTTCATGAGAAGAAACAGGCCATAGAACCGGCATGGCCAGAAGGCTGATTTCAGTGTTAACCTGTGGAATATTTAAACATTACGACACTTTCTAATCTATTATATACCCAAATGGATTCCTAAGACCAGGTCCCTTACCTAAAAAAAATTAGATTCCTTTACCCTGCGCTACCATCAATGCAGACTGTCTTCTAAGAAACACAGAAAAGAACATCCTTCTTCCGCCTGCCTCTCGTCTTGTTACCGCCACACACTAATCTCCTCCATCTCCCAAGCTTCTTAGAGTGTCCAGTGTTCTGATCGCAGGGTCAGCTCTCCCAGAGCGAACTAAATCCATTCCAGACCCAGACGCTGGCACCTGCCACATGCATTCTCTGCTCCTTTCCCTTCACCCTCGCCTCCCCCTCTGCTTCCCAAACTGTGCCAGGGATGGAATTCCTAATCTCAAACTCCTTCCCAGGGCCACTGAGCGCGCTCTCCTCAAGAGAGGCCCGAGTCCTGCCGGCAACAGCTGCAGACTGTTCCAGTTTCTCAGTTGGGAAGCCCACCCCGGTCGCCCCCTCTCTTCTAAGTTTATTCACACACACACACACACACACACACACCGTCGCCCCCTCCCTTCTAAATTTATTCCTAAACACACACACACCCTTCCTTCCTGTAGGGGCGTGGCGTTCACGTGACCCCCCCAGTTTAACTCCTCCCACTCTTCTCCTCCGAGCCCCGCGCTCGTGTTCACGGGGAAAGGGAGGGACACTGCGACCCTCCTAGACTCTGACCCCCCACCCCTCTACCGCCCGGACGACCCTCACCCCATCTGCGCTGGGTCGTTACCTGGCTCCCGCCCGCCTGGTCTCAGCCGGAAGCCGTGGCCCTCCCAGGCCGGAGAACAGGCCCCAGGCCGGGTCCCGACCAGCGGCCCAGGCCCCACCCCCTCGACCCCCGGCGGCCGGGCCCTCCCCTCGCGCTCCTTCCCTCCCCCGCCCCCATCCACCGCAGCCACTTCCGCCCGTGCTCCGGAAGTGAGTCCGCGGCCGCTGCCCCCTCCCTTCGTCCCGCCTCATTCTTCCAGCCGCCCCCGCTCGCCCCCCCCGCCCATCACCACCGCCACCGCGGGAGCGCGGGACGCGGGTCTGCACTGTCCACGAGACTGGAGACGCGGTGCGGGCAGGCCCGCGTCTGGAAGAGAACCGAGCTCGGGGCGACAGCACGAGAGGGGGCGGGGCACAGAGCACGGCGGCAGGGGAGCGCGTCACTCCGCGCCGCGCCGTAGGAGGAGCGCATGCGCCGCGGCGCCTCGCCGGTCGCGGGTGTCGACGCCCGGCCGGCCCGGCGGGGTGGGACTGGGGCGGGCGGGGGCAGGGGAGCTTGGCCCCCGGCCCGCCCCCGGCCCGCCTCCGGTCGCCTAGCAACCGCCGGCGGACCCGGTGCGGCCCGAGGCCCCGGCAGCTCGGCCCTCGGCTGTGGGTCCCCCCGGCGAGACGCAGTGCGGGAAGCGCCGAGGCCTGCGTTAACCGTTCCTGTGCCGGCAGCTCCGTCGCGGAAGCGGAGGGAAGTCTCACTGTGTTCATCGCTTACTTTCCCTCGCGGCTTCCCTCGTCCAGCAGGACGTCTCCTTGGGTGAGGAAAGAGAAGGGACAGGGTAAGAGCGCTCCAGAACGAACGCCCCCCCCGCCTTCTGCGCTCGCTGCAGCCGCCGGGCTACGCGCTCCACGAGTGTCCGTGCGCGCGGCGCTGATGCCTGGTCCGCAGCCCCGAGCAGCAGGCAGCCTGCCCGTAGGGGGCGGAGGGCGGTGCAGCGGCCCCAGCCCCCGGCCTGCAGCGCCGCCCGAGACCTGTCCGAAGAAACCTTCCCACTCCTGCGGCGGACTTGCAAGTCCCAAAATGGCCCCGCCCCCCCTTTTTTCTAAATATTTTGGCCTGACTTGCTCTGGAGTGCAACTTGAATCCAAGAGGAGCTACTGCTCGTTTTTGGAGTTCGGGTGTCCTCCCCTTGGTGACATGCCCTAGACTCTTGCCAAGACTGTGAACGGACTGGCAGCCTCTGTTTTTACCTCCTTTCTGAAAACGGTAACCTAGGCTTCGGTCTTCTGGCCTACCTTACGAGATGTTACGATTTATAAGAAGGAATATGTATATTTGGTCTTCATTTCATTCCTGGCGCAAAGTTCCTAAAACCCTCGGAATTGCCTGAGTGATAAGAGCACTGGGAGCATCTTCTGTTCTAATATTTGGTCGTTGGCTGTGGTTGCATTGGTTCCAAGCTCTTGTATCCCTTCATCTGGCTGTTCATCTGTATCCTTTATTAATAATGTCCTTTAATAAATTGGTGACTGTAAGTAAGTGCTTTCCTGAGTTCTGTGAGCTGCTCTAGCAAATAATCAAATCCAAGGGGAGGAGCCAAGTCAGACAGAAGTTGTGGGTAACTTGGGGACCCGCCACATGTGATTGGTATCTGAAGCGTGGTCAGTCTCTTGGGACTGGGGGATCTGATGCTAGCTATCTCCAGGTAGATAGTGTCAGAATTGAGTTAAATTGTGAGACAACCAGCTGGTGTCAGAGAAAATTGCTAGGTTGGGGGGGAAAAAACCCCACATACTTGGTGTCAGAAGTTATCAGAAGTGAAGAGTTCTATAGAATAGGAAAGAAGACATGGAAGGAAAGCCTGGGTTTTTCCTACTACGTATATTGGTCTGACTTGCTCAACTCCAAGCTGAATCCAAGAGGAGCTATAACTGATTTTTGGAGTTCACGTGTTCCAGAATATTGCCAGGACTGTGGACGGATTTGCAGCCCTCGGTTTTTTCCCCGTTTTTGAAAACTGGAATCTAGGCTCCAGTTTTCTGGCATATCTTCTGTTCCCATGATTTCTCCAGATTACTAGCAGTGACTAACGCATATTTTCAGTACTGGGAACGTAATAATTGCTGAATCAGGAGTCTTGAAATGATTTATTTGGAAAGATGTCATCATAATATTAGAAACATTCTTAAAACAGAGTTTATATTGCTGTTACACTCAAACATAACAGGTCCACAAATAAGTTCTTTCCCCAGCTCAAACCTCCATCCAGCTGTCTTTCTCATCTGAGCTAATGGCAACTCCACTTCCTTCACTCAGGCCTAAACCTTAAGAGCCATCCTCATACACTTCTCTCACATCCTCTACCCAATTGGGAAATTTTGTTGACTCTGCATTCAAACTATATCTAGTATCCAACACCTCAGCATCCCCACAGCACCCTGCATCCCTCACCCAAACAACCAGGTCTCTGCAATACTGCCCCTCCCCCAAAAGCCTAATGTCCATACAACAGCCAAAGGGATCCCGGCATTTCTCCACTTAAAACCACGCAGTGGTTGCCCAGTTTACTTGGAGTAAAAAGCCAAACTCCTTACAGAGCCCAACACCAACTAACTGCCCTGCTTACCTCTGACTCAGCCACACTGCCTTCGTTGGTTTTCCTTGAACCCATTTCAGGGCCTTGACACTGGCTGTCCGCTCTGCTTATAAAGCTCTTCTAGATATTTGCCTAATTCACTCCCTCACCTCTTTCAAACCTTTTCTCAAATGTCACCTCAGTCAGGCCTTCCCTGACCAACCCGTCGTGTAACTAACCCTCCTCCTCACTCACAGCAGTGCTAGTCTATGTTAATCAGCTCCAGTTTTTCCACAGCACTCACTTACCAACTAACATATTTACTGTGCTTGCTACTTACTGACTGTCTACTCCTGCTAGAATATAAATTCCATGAGGGGAGCCATATTTGGCTACTTGATTCCTTGCTGTATCCCAAGTGCCTGACCCTTAGTAGGTGCTCAACAAATATTTGTGGAATAAATGAGCTAATAAATGAACAACTATTTTCATGATAGAGTATTCCCATCCAGGCCTTTCTCACATGTAGATACATGATCTAGTATATTTTGCATTCTGATTTTTTTTTCTCAACATACCATAGATACTGTTCATATTTCTAAATATTCATAATATGCTTTGTAAAGATACTTAGATTTTTGCATGCTTGTTCTAATAAGTCAAACAACACAGACTAGCGTCAAGAAAAACTTACCTTCCTTCCTCCTCTAATCCCACCTGCTGAAGGGGACCGCTTTTAAATTTAGTGGATATCCTTCCAAATGTCTTCTAGGCCCCACAAATATAAACACATAACAGGTACAGATTTCACAGTTCAAAGACAGATAATGCCTGAATTGTGACTTTTTTCTATAACTCAAGTCACTTTTTATTCTAGGCCTTATTACTTCTGATGGCAGAAAAACTAAATCTAATTAATTCAAGGTAAATGCCAGCACTTTATGATTTGTTCATTTATTAATGATCAGTTACAGTTTAATTCCAGTGAATTCAGAATTTATTAATGCCTTTACTTCTATCCTTTTATTTTCATGTAATTACCCGCTTTTAAAAATTATTATAAAAGAAATGGACATTCATTACAGAAAAACAGTAAACCATAAATAAGCAAAATGAAAAAATTAAAACATCCAGAAATAATCAAATCTTAAAAAACAAAACAACCCAGTGATAGTCAAATCTTAAAATCTTAAATCTTAATCTAATCAAATCTTTAAAAAAAAGCATTTTATTTACTTATTTGTCAGAGAGAGAGGGAGGAAGAGCATAAGCAAGGGAAACTGCAGGCAGAGGGAGAAGCAGGCTCCCCGCTGAGCAGGGAGCCTGATGCAGGATTCAATCTGAGGACCCTGGGATCATGATACTTAACCACTGAGCCACCCAGGCATCCCACATGGAACCTGTTTTTATGTCACTTTTGTGAATTGCCTACTTTTATCCTTTATATTCATGTCACTCATTTGCTAGAACTCTTTATAGAATATAATATAAGGGGCTCCTGGGTGGCTCAGTTGGTTAAGCGACTGCCTTCAGCTCAGGTCATGATCCTGGAGTCCCGGGATCGAGTCCCACATCAGGCTCCCTGCTCAGCAGGGAGTCCCCTTCTCCCTCTGACCCTCCCCCGCTCATGCTCTCTCTCAAATAAATAAATAAAATCTTAAAAAAAAAAAAGACTATAAAATAAAATATTGTTACTTATGTTGCCAATATTTTCCCAGTTTGTTATTTGCCTTTTAAGTCTTTGTGCTCATTTGACACATTGCAGGTGTTAGGCCAGAAGTCTGGTCTTGCTGCCCATGCTCTGCCTTCAGAATACATTAGTACTTAGGAGTAGACTAGAGACTTTTGTATCTGTTTTTGCCAATGTGATATAAGGAGTGAATAAGGAGACAAGACCATAGTCTCCACGGAAAAGGCCACAGAATCCCCAGATGAAGGAGGAGGCGTTTGGGGACAATTTGTGTTTTCTGGAGAGCATTGATACCCAGTGCCATCCTAGATTTTTGGAAATCTCAATTTTAAATGATCTGTCATCCCTATTAGTTATCCCTCTCCATACACACATAATTATCACACCATGATTCTTCTGTCAGGTGAAGATAGTCCTGACTGTGGGCATGTTCTGGCTTTGTCTTCTCTCACTCTCTCTTTGGCCAGGTCGGTATTCTTTCCTAAAACACCCTCCTCCTAAATGTCTTTCTTAGTATCTGATTCATGAGTCACCACACCATTCTCTAAACTCTACTCCCTTCAGCAAATCCAGGAGGTGAGGGTGGGCTTTTCTGGAACACTGAACACAGATATCCCCCACTCCCTTTTTCATGTTCCTTGTGGCTTAAAACAAAAAACAAACAAAAAAACGGCAGGAGGGTGCGGAGCACCAGAGGTTGCACTGCAAATACAGGACTGAAGAGGATGTGACAAGCTCAGACATCACCATAGCTAAGTGTAAAGCTGGACTTCTGATAGACACGTAAGGAACCCTAGTAAAAGCTGGAATATAAAGCAGAGACTTGAGATGAAGGTTAGGTGGCAGGTAAAGTACACTGGGGATTTCAATTCAGTTATGGGATGAAAGCTGCTTAAGTACACTTAGAATCATAGCACTTTCTTCATTTCATTTCACAGTGAAGGATGCACTGACCCTCTTGTATCTGGTCTTTCCTTATTAAATTGTATTGTTAAATTATTTTAATTTTGAGCATTTCTCCCCAAATGGACTATGAGTTTCTTTAGGGCAGAGACCTGTTTACCTTAAAACACTCATATATTTCTGTATTTGTTTAATTCAGTTAAAACAAATTTGTAATTTGTTTAATGCCAGCTCGGCTCCTGGCTCCTCTGATTTTTGTGGTGGAAGATTTGGTTACCTTTTCCAAGGTGCAGATAATGAAATGTATCCTTCACCCCTGGCAAGGTATTCATGAGGATCAAATGAAACCAAGGCTGTGAGAACTCTTTTAAAACTGCAGACAGCAATGTAAATATCTATGGGGTTTAGAAGTTTACAGATAGCAATCGGAAAGTGCCAGGGTGGTGGTCACATTGAGTTTTCGTGGGAGATCACTTAATGCCCTCTCCATCTGAGAAGAGAGAAAGCCCTGAGGCCCACCTTCCCCCTTGCCCCCTTAGGAAGCTACTCCTGTTTCTCATCTGGCCTGTCCCTTTTTCAGGGCTCTCAAAGTATGATTAGGCCATAGTGAAAGCTGGTCTGCCTTTAAACACCTTTCTTTAACAATTACAAGTTCTGACTATCACTGGGTTGTTTTTAAATCTGTGAATTTGCATTCAAACCAAGAGCAGCTTGGGCCAGCATTTCCATAGACCATCTCCATTAGTGAGGGTTGTCCAGTTACCTAGTGAGGGAGAAACCTTGACTCCTGATGCCAGGAGGCTGTTTCCCTGTATGAGTCAGTACAGATGGTGGGTGTAGCTGGGAGAGCGGAGGAGAGGGCGAGGGAGCAGTCAAGGGAGCACTGTCCAAAACAGAAGTACCTTTTGCCTTCAGGATGTATCAGTCACAGGGAAAGAGGAGACTTATTCTCAAAAAGAACAAAGAAATTTTCAAGTAAAAAACTGAAGTACTGAAGAAGTGTTTAGAGGGACAAAAGAAATGAATCCGGAATATCTCCAGGGGTTCAGTGGGTCACCAGCAAGGTCTTAAAGGCAAGGAGAGAGTAACTCCTGGTTTGGGGTCATGCATGCTTTACTTCAAGCAGAGCCAAGTTCAAACAGGAATATTCCTACTCCTTATAATCTACGCTGGTTTTTGTGTCAGGGTTCTTGGACTCTAAAGGTCCTGACTGCAGCGACCAGCTCTCACACACCCCAACCAAATCCTTCAAAGCTCCTCATACAGGAGCCGTTCAAAGTACTTGGGAGAAGACGATTACAACTATTATCCCCAAACTATCATTATAACCTTATCATAATTCCTAACCTTATCATAATTCCCTTATCTTTTTTGAAATGGGTTTTAAAGCAGAATAACCATTTCTAATTATTGGAAACATTTTAAATAACTTTTAGAATGACCTTTATTAGTCATAAAAAGGAAAGGACATACATAAATCTTTCAAAGTACCATCTCTGATCTTTTGCTAGATGTGTGATTCACTGTTTTCCATCTTACTCTGGGACAAGGTGTCCACATGTGTCCCCCCATTTCCCCCCACCCCACCACACCCCCACCATAGGCTACTTTGGAATATTGGAAGAATGTAAGTTAAAGGCAGCCCAGCACCCCTGCAAACACTCGTTAGGAATCATCTGGAAGCTGTTTAAGGAAAAAAAGAAAGCCACAGGCTTCTGGGAGTTAATAATCCTTTCCTGCGCCTCCCAAATGTCTCACTGCAGCGTGGCAGTCACCTCTGTGTTGGGTTACACACTGATTGATTCCTAGTACCTGTTAAAGGGCTGACCTTTTCAGATGATTGACCCTGCTGAATAATCAGACCCGTGTGAGATCATGTCTGTGGAAATACCAGGATTGCATGCTTGCATTTTTTTTTTAAGATTTATTTATTTATTAGAGAGAGAGAGAGCATGCACACAAGTAGGAGGCGCAGAGGGAGAGGGAGAGAGAATCTCAAGCAGCCTCTGCACTGAGCATAGAGCCTTATGCAGGGCTTGACACGGGGCTAGATCCCCTGACCCTGAGATCGTGATCTGAGCTGAAACCAGGAATCCGACACTTAACCTACTGAGCCATCCAGGCGCCCCACATGCTTGCGTTTAACATGCTTTCTTGAGTGGGAAAGAACAACTGGAATTTCAGCAGAGAATTGGGTGTGTGTTTGTGTCTGTATGCTATTTTATACATACACATATGTATTAAATAGATCAGATATACTCAGCTACAACCTAGAGTGAGGAGAATATCCCAAAGAAAAAAAAATAATTTACTCTTTTCTGGACTTTGACAGTACCTAGGCACTTCATTCCAGGGAAGAGACCGGGGATCTTTGCTCTGAGGGACACGGAGACTCCGAATTCATCTCCCTCGCAGCCTGGGCTCCACTCTGTGCTTTTCTTTCCCCCGGAAGATCTTCGGAAGTCTTCCATTACCAGCCCAAATGCCACCCCCTCCTTGAAACCATGGTAGTTGTCAGCACTGGTTCTTCTTTGCCTTGTGTTGGAATTCGTCGCGGTGCAGCTGTCGTCCCTGGTCTTACTCCTTCCCCTCTTCCTCAGTTCCACCCAGCCCCCAGCAGAGACTGGAGTGGGCGGTGAATGGCTGTAAGATGTAGCTAGATGTGAGCAGCCACTGAGGAAACCAAAGTTTTAGTGAAGCGCGGTGTGGAAACCCTGCTTGGGAGGCTGTGGAGTCAAAACCAAGACAGAAGGGTAGGAGAGAGACAGAGAATGTTGAAGACTTAACCTGATCAATTTTGAGTAAATGAGGAAAGAAACATGACCTAGTGAATGAGGCAGGACTTTGGGCTTAAAAGCTGAGTGAAATTTACAGATTCCAGTAAACCAAATCCCTAGAAAGAGATACAGCCATTGTTCCATAGATACATAGTTTCTAAAATGTTAGAAACTGGGCTGCAAAATTGTGCCAGTTTGAACCCAGAGGACCCAGTTTGTAGGGTAATGGAAAATAGCAGAGGCTTTCCAAGAACAGTATATGGCCTCCCCGTTTACAACGCAAGGAAGTGCAACCTGCAAAGTAAGTGTGGGAAGGCCCGCAGAGACGCAGGATGGACGTGTGTTGTGTGCACGTGGCAGCTGCCGCCTCGGGTTTATATACCCGCTCCAGCGTGGGGTGCTGTGCGTGGGCTGGTTGTCAACCCCACGCCTAAATTGCCCCACCTGCAGAGGGGGAAACGAAGATCTCGTGGTATTCTTACGAAGACCGGAGGAGTTGCCAGCAATCCTGCCTGGCGCAGAGTGAACACAGTATCTTGTTATTTTATTATATAAAATTTGAACAATCTATTTGGAACAAGTAAGGAAACTTTAGGGAAAATCTGATCAAATGCTCTGATTCCACATCATTAGATGAGCTTTAGAAGCCGTGTAAAAGGCGTCTTATTATCTCCTAGTCTTTTAGGGTCGTCCTGAAAGGGCTTTGCAATGTATTCAAATCCTGACTTCCACTATGAGTCTTGAATGCAGGTACTTGTGTCTTAACCTTACGTGACCCTAACAATGCTAGCCCCAAATAGCAGAACTTCATAAATGTCTATGAGGGTTTTGTTGTTGTTGTTTTTTAATAGGGAATTGCAGATTTAGCCCAGTGGCAGCCATTTGGACATCAGTTTTGTTGTGTTTTTTTTTTTTTTTAATAGCACTTGGGACAACCCAGACGGCCCTGGCAGAAAGGTCTGGATAAGTAAGTGTTAACGAGGGGAGAGAAGGCCCCGGAAGAAACTGTGGCCTGGGCAACAAGTCTTGATGGATCTCGGCAATCAGAAGGAGGAAGGTGTGTTTCCTGAAAAGGTCTTAGAAAGCAAAAGGAAGGGACGGCAAGGATCATGGCCCATACTTTTCAACTGCCCCTCTCTGTCCACCTGCAGCAGACTCTCCTTCATGTACTAATTCCACAAATGTGGAGCCCCTGTCCTTGTGCTGCTCACCGCCCACTGAAGAAACACAGTGACTACCTCACAACCCAACCCAAGCCACGGAGGGAGGCCCTGGAAGGCCCCCAAGCTCACTACTCAGACTCAAAGCCTTTACCGGGAGGTGAGATTTATTCTTGCCGTTGATCAAACGTGAGGCACGGAGGCAGAGAAGATCCCAGGACCTCCCTAAACCATCCATTTGTGAGCAATTTCAGGCAATGACCAGTTGTCTTGGGGTGGTGTGTGTGGGGGGGCAGTAGTGAGAAGAAACACCAAGTCCAAAGGTGCTAATCCTGAGGGGATGAAGAGGCTTTGAGGGAAAGGCAAGCATGCATCTTCGAGATATATAGACTTGGAAGCACTCAGGAGGCGTGGAGTAGGACGCAATTCTCTGTGCTCCCTGTAGGCTGTCCCTCACGGAGAGGATCCCTTATGGAGACTCCAGGAGCAGGGCTTGAGCAACCTTGCCTATCCAAGGGTGACTGCTGGGCGGGAGAACCCTGAAGGGGGCTGTGGGGCACATCGCCAGCAATTAAAACTGAGGAGAGCAGAAGGAGGCTAAGCCAGAATGTTCCCCCTCCCAAGAGCAATGCCTGCATCCTGTCCAGCCTAGATCTATCCTTAAGATTTAAGATGTTCCGGCGCCTGGGTGGCTCAGATGGTTGGGCGTCTGCCTTCGGCTCAGGTCATGATTCCAGGGTCCTGGGATCGAGTCCTGCATCGGGCTCCCTGCTCCATGGGAAGCCTGCTTCTCCCTCTGCCTCTCTCTCTCTCTCTCATGAATAAATAAATAAAATCTTTAAAAAAAAAAGATTTAAGATGTTCAAAGGGAAACAGGGTGTGCAGCCACTCAGGTTGTCGGATATAAAACAAAACACCCAGTTAAATGTGAACTTCAGATAAACAAGGAATTATTGGTATTGCAGAAGACATACACTAAAGAATTATTGTTTATCTGAAATTCAAATGTAACTGGGCGTCTTGGTTTTGTTTGCTTGCTTTGCTCTGCTAAATCTGGCAATCCTAGTGATATGTCAACATGCTCAGTGAACCTGAACATTTGTGAGGATGGAATTAAAGGAGTAGTGGCAGCTTCTATAAATAGCTCTGAGTCCTCCAGGCTCCAGGGTTTGGTTACTGATTCTGGGGTGACAGTACCTTCTCCAAGCACTGAGCCTCTCCTCCTTCTGGGAGCTGTGGAGCAAAGAGAGAGAATAGGTAATTGACACAGGCTGGTTTGATTGTCCAGCCAAAGCAGTAAGCAGTGACAGCTTAGGGACTTCACACCGCCGGTCTTACAGGGTATGAGTGCAAGCATGCCCGCATTTGGGGGAAAGGAGGGGATAGAGTAGGTTGAGGGGAGAGGGTCAGAGTGTTTTGCTTGTATTACGTCTCATGAAACTGCATCTGTGAGTGGCTGTGTGAATACATGGCTAATAGTATTTCTTACCGTAGTTAGGGTCGAAGATGCTTGGAAACCACTGACAAGAGGTTGATGCTTGCAGGGCATTATCGTGAAAACTGAGATGGATCAACAGCCAGGATGAGTTTGCTTCACACTCACAGGCAAGGGTGAGCTTTGCCTTGTTCTGGAACAGTCACCTTCCAGAACCACCTTACCTTTTCATGGAATCTGCAGTCCCTTGCGTATATGGATGGCCAATGCTTCATTTGAAGTGGAGTTCCTGGTTTTGTGACTTTTGTTCATTTTGCCGCAATCACTTACTAAAAACATACACTGGGATCCAGCATTGTTGCACCCAATCTTAGGCAATAAATCTAATAATAGATAGTATACAAATACAATAAATAATGTGGGACTAAACACACTGTCCAAAAGACTCTAAATTTTATTTATTTCCTCCTCTAAAAGAAAGATTTTTCAACTTTGAAATCTCTGGAGCTCACTTGGCTTAATTCCTCAGAACTATCCCAAATGGTTTTGAAAGAGTCATTATTGGGCGCCTGGGTGGCTCAGTTGGTTAAGTGACTGCCTTCGGCTCAGGTCATGATCCTGGAGTCCCGGGATCGAGTCCCACATCAGGCTCCCTGCTCAGCGGGGAGTCTGCTTCTCCCTCTGACCCTCTTCCCTCTCGTGCTCTCTGTCTCTCAAATAAATAATAAAAATAAAATCTTTAAAAAAAAAAGAGTCATTATTTCTCTCATGCACTGAACACACAATGCTCTTACTTAGGAAGAGGAAGAAAAAAGTGTTTACAGTCCCACTCTGTACATTAAGAAATGTGTATAACATTAGCTCTTGATTCAGAAATTATAAATAAAGCTGTTTTATCATCCAATGTTACTGAAACATTGTGTCCTGTGATGTTTTAGTCTTTATTGTTCCAGGGATTTCATTTTTATTTTGCACTTTTTTGGTAAGAAATAGCTTCTTAATCCTAAGCCTAAATATTTGTTGTCCTACACCACTCGCTCTGATCTCCAACGTTTCTGTGAATTTTGCTTTTGTGCATGGATGAAATGGGTTTGCTGTGTGTTTTTTTTTTAATGGACAGTACCAGATACACCTGGATCTGAAATTAATCCCGACACACAGGAACACTATGATTTTGAAAGGCATACAGAAGCTTGAAGCCTCAGTGTCCTTTGCTGTAAGATGGGGATAATGAAAGTACCTCCCTTGTAGAGCTGTGGTGGGATTTCCATGAGAGAATGAACGTGAAGTCTGGAGTGGCAGAGACAATACTATACATCTCACCAAATGCCATTTCTGTTTCCTCTTCGTGAAGAATGAGACACAGTTCCAACCTCCCTTGTGTTGGCTTGGGGCCACGGGACTGGGCTCTGGCATGACTACTCAGCTTGGTAACCATGGGGGACATCTGTTCCAAGTCACATGGCTTTAGGACACAGGAGGTGTCCTACCCCACACAGGACTTTATGTGAGCAAGACGCCAAACTTTATTTGTAAAGACTTGGGGGTTTGTTTGTTACTACAACCTTGCCTGGCCTACCCTGACTAATACACTGGACACACATATGTAGTAAATAGTTAATGGATTTTAGCATTTGACTTAAATCTATGAATGAGTGTGGAACAATTCCTTGTGTATATGTTATTAAAAGAAAAAAATCAAGACAAAGAGGGCACCTGGGTGGCTCAGTTGGTTAAGCGACTGCCTTCGGCTCAGGTCATGATCCTGGAGTCCCGGGATCGAGTCCTGCATCGGGCTCCCTGCTCAGCGGGGAGCCTGCTTCTCCCTCTGACCCTCTTCCCTCTCGTGCTCTCTCTCATTCTCTCTCTCAAATAAATAAAATCTTCAAAAAAAAAAAATCGAGACAAAGAATATACAGTGTTCTGCATTTGTGTAATAAAGAAGGGGAAATTAAAATGTATATATTTATATAGAGAGATACATAATCGCTATATAATAATCCCTATATATATATCCTTGTATACATAAATATATTCCTAGTTGTGTTCCGGAGGAGCCTAGAAGAAATGACAGCCTAGTACAGTTGCAGTGGGTACGACTAGCCCCATACCTTGCAACTCCCGATGTAACAAGTGGTTCAGGCAAGAATAATCGGTGGGTAGTAAAACCAGTACATAAAAATAGTTGGGCAATAGGATATTCCTATAGGGGCAAATTGTCACTCCACAGATCATTACTAGTTTCAAAGAGAAATATGTTCCTTTGGGCATTGGGTCCAGTGTATGCCCATTCCCACAGATGCGTCTGTCTGGCCCTGCCTGCCTGCCTCTCGGGACCCGCTTGCCCTGGTGAGGTCCCCGTGATGGAGGCAAAGCTCCAGGCTCCATCTCGTCACCTCCCCTCCTGCAATGATAGACGTCTGTGCCTTCGGCAAGGCTGTTGTTACACCGGAAAGGTCTACAGAAGCTCCATACCCAAGTCAGACACAGTGGGACCCACAGAAGCCCTGGCTTTCCCAGTGGCTGCCCGGGGGCACTGGAAACAATCCAGAAGTACAGGGCCATTTACACGCGGTGGGCTTTGTGCCAGAGAACAACTCTTCCCATATGAAACGGTGCATAGAGCACCTCCAAAGACGCCCCACGTGACCAAGTGGGGCTGCCTACAAAACCATGACCAGCTTGGCAACAAACCACGTTGCATTCATTTTCCCTCCTCTTCTGCTTCAATTCTTTTCCCCCGCCTTTTTTGCAGTCATAGGATTGCATCTGTCATAGAACATTAGCCTGCGAACTTGGCCTCAATCTCCGTTTCCGGGCAGACCATTCTCCGTGGAGGTTTCGCAGTCACTTTCTCAACCAAGTCATCACCTTCAGCATCTCCACTAGTGGAAAAACCCGATGCATGAACATTCTTCTGAGATGCCTGCAAAGTATTCCTGCAAAAAAAAAAAAAAAATGGTTTACCTAAACTTAATCGAGTCTCCAGACCTAACTTCCATTTTAAGGATAATACAGGCTTAAAAGCAAATGTTAAAGAACACCATCCAGATACAATCAGACAAATGAAGAATGGGTGACTTTCTTGAAGTTACTTGGCCTGGATTCTTGAAAAATCAGCTTCATAGGTCAAAACCAAACTGAAGTTAGTGTGGGGGAGAGTTTCGAGATGAACCTCCAGGTAGAATCTACAAACCTTGATTAGATCATGGGGGAATTGCCTAGAAATCTTTAGGAGACAATTGGGAAAATGTAAATATGGCTTGGATATTAGTTGTGATTGTAGAATGATTGTTAATTTTCTTGGGTGTGATGGTGGCGTTGTGGTTATATAGGAGATTGTCCTTGTTTTTAGGAGATTCGTGCTGAAGTATTTAGAGATCATGATGTCATATTAGTAAGTTATTTTCAAAACTGGTGTATTTTGGTATGTTGGGAGGAGGGAGAGAAGGAGAAAAAGCAAATAGGGTAAAACATTAACAACCACTGAATCTAGATGGAAAGCATTTGTGGTTCTAGTCTTTCAACATTTTTAAGTGTTTTTAGATTTTCAAAACACAGTAGGAAGATAAATACCAAAAAACAAAACAACAAACAACAAACAAGCAAAGACAACCTAGATAAAATTTAGGTTGTATTTGTATTTGAAGAAATGTTTTAAGCTATGTTTTATTTTCCTCAGTTTCAAATAAGCAGCCAATACTTTATCAGGGACGAATTCATCTACCTCAGAATGGATATTCACCCCTCAATCGCTGTGCTTTCAAAGGCTTTTTACCTCTTGCATATTTCTAGCAGTTTCCCACGTAGAAAAAATTCGATGCCGAGTCTGTACACCCGAATTCTTGGCAGAATAGTCAGCAAGTAATACGGAGAACTGCTTCCTTTAAAAGGCTGCATTTATCATGCAGATTGTGAGTGCTGAGGAGCCGAGGCACCTTGGAGAAATGATCCTTTAGAGGTAAAGTTTGATGGATCCCACAGATGCAGCAGCTGTCCTCCTGTGCATTCCTAATCTTGTATAGGATGCAGACCAGAATGGCAGCTTTCTCCAGCTATACCGGCAACAGACAGACACTGATTAATGATTTAATACAGTGGAGCACATTTATTTCAGGCTTCTAGTATTAGCACCATCTCTTGCCTCGCAGAGAAAACTCTTCCCAAACTTTGTTTAATATGACCGTTTTATTCGTTAAGGCACAGACAGAGGGGCTCCCGGTGTGCTCTCACCATTCCAGTTGGCCCAGGTCAGCCCATCTCCAGTGCTTCCATCCACAAGAGAGTTCCAGGAACGTGCTCCCCCTTACGTTATATTCATGCAAACTGAGCCCTCCATAGCTTGGGCGGTCTCTGCTTTGTCCAGGAAGGACCCCTCTCATCCCCACGGAATTCTCATGGTACACTAATGTGTGTTCTTCCCTTCTTCTTCTCCTCCTTCTTTTTAAGACTTTATTTATTTGAGAGAGACAGAGAGAACCCAGAGGGAGAGGGAGAAGCAGGCTCCCCATTGAGCAAGGAGCCTGATGCAGGACTCGATCCCAGGACCCTGGCAGACGCTTAACAACTGAGCCACCCGGGCACCCCATGTTCTTGCCTTCTTTAACAGTAGAACTCCTCAGTGAAGGCTGACCTCATGGCCACTGCATGAAGGTTCTGCCACAATGATGTGGCCTGACAAGTAACCCCAAATCTCAGTGGCTTCTCCTCCCCCCACCAAAAAAGCCACTTATTTTTCTTGCAGCTCTGCTTCAGGCCATGAACAGATTTAGGGGGGCTCCACCTGTCTTATCCTCTGGACCCCTAGCTTCCTGCAGCAGGCTCTTCTCATGGAGGGTGGCCCCTGTGCCAGTGGGATGGGGAGGAACATGAGAGGCCACTTAAGGCCTCGGCTCAGAACGGACACATTGTCACTTCTGCCCCCATTCCCCTGGCCAGAGCTGAAATCAGTGGGGTAGGGGAGTACCCCCCGCCTTGGGGATCCCTGCCAAGCGCAGGGAGGGGAGGAATAACGGCAGCCCCATAACACCATCAGCCTCCATCTCCCTTGTAGCCTGATATGTGCTTGCAACTCAGTTCTGGCCAAAAGGATGTGAGGGAAAGCAATGAGTGCAACCTCCAGGCCTTGCACTTGGAAGGACTGGGCTTGTTCTGACTTTCCCCGCTCACCAGCCCAGGACGCGGTGGGCTGCAGCAACCACCTGGCCCAGTGGCACATGGTAGGACCCCAGCAGTCCTACCTCTGGACTGTTGTAGGTATGTCACTTACACTGGCGGCTTTTTGCATCTCCTTTGCGGCTTCTGAGAACCCTCGCTAGCACAGCATTCATCCATTCACTCAACGAGCATTTGCGGAGGGTCTGCTTTGTGGCAGATGTTGCTCTGGCAGCTGGAGGAAGGGAGAGTGAACAGAAGCCAAGTCGGCCTTTCTGCGTCTTGACGGTGGTGGTGGTGGTGGTCACACAAATCAACACGTGATAAAGTTGCACAGAACTAAATAACATACACATGAGTACAAGTAAAATTGAGGACATCTGTACAAGATCTTGGCCTTGTACCACTATCGACAGCCTAGTTGTGATATTATATTAGAGTTTTGCAAGATGTTACAATTATGGAGAAACTACGTAAAGGATCTCTGTTCTTGCAACTGCTTATGAATCTAATGATCTCAAAATAAGAAGTGACATTGGGGAGGGTATGTGCTATGGTGAGCGCTGTGAATTGTGCAAGACTGTTGAATCTCAGATCTGTACCTCTGAAACAAATAATGCAATATATGTTAAGAAAAAAAAGAAGAAGAAGATAGCAGGAGGGGAAGAATGAAGGGTGGGAAACGGAGGGGGAGACGAACCATGAGAGACTATGGACTCTGAGAAACAAACTGAGGGTTCTAGAGGGGGTGGGGTGGGAGGATGGGTTAGCCTGGTGGTGGGTATTGAGGAGGGCACGTTCTGCATGGAGCACTGGGTGTTATGCACAAACGATGAATCATGGAACACCTCATCTAAAACTAATGATGCAATGTATGGTGATTAACGTAACAATAAAAAAGAAACAAAAAGCCTTGGACTCTGATCTCTTTGTGCTTACAGTCTAGAATGGTGTCAAGAGAAAAATCCAGAGAGACTTACTTGATATGAATATTTTATTGAGCCAGAAAACAAACTATTTGTGAACAGGACGACTTCAAACCGTAAGTGGTTATCGCCTACCTCTCAGCTGTTCCAGGGCAACTTAGCATGAGGAAATACATTGTTTTCTCTTGTGATTGGTTTCTAGAAACTGATATTCCTTCTAGCTTAAGTGTGTGTAGGTGAGTAGGAAGCTATAGGTTATGCTGACGTGAAGAAAGCTTAATTTTGGTTAAGGTGAGAATCAGCATTATTGAAAAATCAGGACAGTTTTATGTTTCAATTACATGACTAAGAGTGCTTGGGCTAGGGGTATATTCAAACTGTGGCCTCCACTTTGGTCTTTCTTTAACCATGGGAATCAGAAGACTAAAAAGTCAAAAAGTCATTGGGGCGCCTGAGTGGCTCAGCCGGTTAAGCGACTGCCTTTGGCTCGGGTCATGATCCCAGGGTCCTGGGATTGAGCCCCGCATCGGGCGGGCTCCCTGCTCCGCGGGAAGCCTGCTTCTCCCTCTCCCTCTGCCTGCCGCTCCTGCTACTTGTGCTCTCTCTCTATCTGTCAAATAAATATCTAAAATCTTAAAAAAAAAAAAAAGTCAAAAACTCAGGGCGCCTGGGTGGCTCCGTTGTTCAGCATCCGACTCTTAATTTCGGTTTAGGTCACGATCCCAGCGTGATGAGATCAAGCCCTATGGCAGGCTCCGCACTGGGCATGAAGTTTGCTTGAGATTTTCTCTCTCTCTCTCCCCCTCTGCCCCTCCTGCCCTTGAGCACACTCACTCTCTCTCACTCTCTCTCTCAAAAAAAAAAAAAAATCGCTGATGACAACCTCAGCATGGCAGCAGCTCAGCTCCAACCATCCCGATGACAGCAGTGCCCTGAAGCTTGCAGAGGACAGAGCTGCCAGGCAACAGAGCTCACTTTGGACTGGGAAGTGAGAGAGACTTAAAGTTCTTTTTTCCTTAAATAGGGCGTCCCTATAATTTATCATCCAAACTGAGACACCTGCAAAAATAATCACACTGGCCCAGCTTGTGCCAACAGATCAGTCGGTTGCTCTAACAACATTGCATCATTGACTCTCTTTGTTCCAGCAGCCTAGCTTCCTCCAACCAATGGAGGCTAGTGGGTGCTGCCTCTGTCAGCACAGACCAGCCTAGGAAGCGAGTTGATGTGCTTTAAGGTTTATTTCTTGCTCATACAGTGTCGAATACGGTGCAGGTGACCCTCCTCCATCTTCTAGTCGACTCATTTTGAGTATGAACTTCCCAGGCGGCGGGAACAGGCGAAGAGAGAGCTGGAGGTCTACAGAAAATGTTGTGGGCCAAGCCAGGAAGTAGCTTACATCATACCACCCACCTTTCACTGACCGGTCACATCATCACCCCTACCTGCAAAGGAGCCTGGGGAAAGTCGTCCCCCTACGAGCCCAGGAAGAGGACCTCCACCACGGATACGCGATTACACACTGGGAGAGGACACTACTCTGGCGCCAGCCTCTTTACCTAGCTCACTACCCCCTGTGCCATTCACAGAGAAACCACTGAAGATGCAGGAAAGCAGTTTAGTATCGGGAGCAGGAGCAGTTTACTCCTCACACATGAAGCAAATCAACTTCACTTCCTCTCTGGTTCTTTCGGTTTGTGATCTACCGGCACTGATCTCTGCGAACACTGTTTTCTCCAAAATCTGCAGGCTGGAGACCCAAGGAATAGCACTGATGCTGGGGTTGAAGTCTGAATGCTCAATGCTGGCAGAATTCCTCTTGGCTCAGGGGAGGTCAGTCTGTCTGGTCTACACATGCCTCCAATTAATCGGATGAGGACCACCCCCATTATGGAGGGCAATCTGCTTTCATCTGTCAATGTAAACGTTAATCTCTCATCCAGAAACATCCTCACAGAAACATCCAGAAGGATGTCTGGCCACATATCTGGGCACCATGGCCAGCTAAAACGACACATAAAATCAGTCACATCCTCCAAGGCCAGCTTTTAATACTTTATATTTCTTGTCTGAAGTGGAAGGAAGGGTGGTATGGGGGTGGGGGGGGAGGAAGGGTCAAGGCTGGGTTCAAATCCCTAATCTTACTCTGAACTCCAGTCTCATTTGTAAAGTGTGAATAAGAATGTTCACCTTGAGTAATCCTGTAAAGATTAGATGCTGTGTATGGGAGACTCCTAGACCTATGGCTGACTCATAAAGGATGGCAATTATTAACATTTCAACTTGAAAAGAAAGTCTGCTAAACACTTTACGTTTCTTTTTACAGCTGCTTCTTACCTGGAGGTGACTCTTGACATTTTCCGTTTTCCCTGAGGTTTAGCAGTGTCTCAGCAGGAAGGTCCCTGCTCTCGTGCGGTGTCACCATCTCCTGGTACTCAATCACCATCAGCCAGCTATGTCCTACTTTTCCATGAGCCGTCACTGCGGACCCACGTGATGTCACATGTTTGAACAACTTGTGTAGGCACTCCAGGGAAAATCCAAGGGGAAAGAGGAGTGAGGAAAATTCTCCTTATAAATAAAGAAAGAAAGGTGGGAGCTAGCAGGAAATGATGCAAGAAGAAAAGGAAATAGAAATCAGATTTTCTACTGATTTCCTTTGTTTTCTTACATCATTTCAGAAATTAGCATCTACATTGATGCCTGATTGGATGATGAACCAACTCTTCTGATCCTCTCATTCAACAAACCTGCAGACTTCTTTATTGGGGGAGGGTGTTGAGGAAGTTTTAAAAGTGGGCCAAATACAGCCACTTTGGAAAACAGTGTGGGGGTGCCTCAGAAAATTAAAAATAGAGCTACCCTATGACCCAGCAATTGCACTCCTGGGTATTTACCCCAAAGACACAGATGTAGTGAAAAGAAGGGCCATATGCACCCCAATGTTCATAGCAGCAATGTCCGCAATAGCTAAATTGTGGAAAGAGCCAAGATGCCCTTCAACAGATGAATGGATAAAGATGTGGTCCATATATACAGTGGAATATTACTCAGCCATCAGAAAGGATGAATACCCAACTTCTACATCAACATGGATGGGACTGGAGGAGATTATGCTAAGTGAAATAAGTCAAGCAGAGAAAGTCAATTGTCATATGGTTTCACTTATTTGTGGAACATAAGGAATAGCATGGAGAACATTAGGAGAAGGAAGGGGAAAATGAGGGGGGGTGGAATTGGAGGGAAAGATGAACCATGAGAGACTATGGACCTGAGAAACAAACAGGGGTTTTAGAGGGGAGGTGGGAGGGGATGGTTTAGCCTGGTGATGGGTATTAAGGAGGGCACATACTGCATGGAGTACTGGGTGTTATATGAAAACAATGAATCATGGAACACTACATCAAAAACTAATGATGTAATGTATGGTGACTAACATAACATAACATAACAAATAAAATAAAATAAAATAAAATAAAATAAATAAAATAAAATAAAATAAAATAAAAAATAAAATAAAAGTGGGCCAAAGCCACATGGGAACACATGTGAACATAAGTGAAATGGCCTTCCATACGTTGAGCATGGCTGAGGGCTGAGAGTAGGGAACGTGTAAGTTATCAAACTCGTCCTTTGAGCCTTGGTCTCCTGGTTATGCAACTGGCTGAGCCACTTTCCAAAAAGACCCAGACACACTGGCTTTAACGAGACCGACTCTCCAAGGTCACGTCAATGATGCTGATGTGTTGGTTTCACGTCGTCAATACGTAATATCTACCCGTGGGTTCAAGAGCCACTCCAGCTGTCCCCTTTCCCAGCCAGGTGCAAGAAGTAAAGGAAGCAGAGGACTACGAGATTTCTTTTCAGGGAATCACCTGAGAGTTGCCCTTTTACTTCTGCTCACATCGCGTTGGCCAGAGGCCTGAGGGAAGCTGAACAGGTGCCCTGCCTGAACTCTGCCGGGTGGGGTCTGACTGCTCAGCGAAGAAGGTGAGCCCGGTGCCTGGGAGTGGTCAGTAGTTTCTGCCCTACCTGGTTCTTGGGAGGTGATTCAGCTCCCCCTGGAGAGCCTGTCAGACCTGTGGGCAGCCCCCCAACCCCCCACTCTTAAGAAAGAAGCCCTACTTGCGTCTGAGAGCAATATCTAAATTTCTATCTGAAAAAAAAGTAAGTTTCTACACATAAACATTTTACAGATTCGTGTGCCGAGGCAGGAAGAGAAGCTCAAATCAATGAAATGACAGCCAGAGGCACTGGCTACGCCCCGGAGCTGGCCACCACGTTCTGACAAGCAGAACCCGAGGTAAGGGGGTAGGTAACTGTCCAGAGCCAGGCCGCACCTCCTCACACATGAAGCTCAGCTGCTCTGCCACCCGATCCCTCTCCCACACTCATACCAAAGAGTTCTCGATCTCCGGAGAAACTAAGAATCCCAACGTTGAAAAATCCCATCCTGCTCTGAGTGCAGTCACCAGGGGTGGTGAGCAGAATCAGGGAGTGGAAAGATACACATGCGGGCTTAGGCCATCTGGGTTTGCTAACTGGTGCTTACGGAAGCCAGGCTCCTACCCTCCTAAGGAGCCGGGGAGGCAGGGCCCTCATCCTCACGTGTTGGCTAGAAGAGCTGGAGGTTGTCCCACTCAGGAGTTGCAGAGGGCTGGAGGAGCCGTCCCGGGGACACGGCCTTGACCTCTTGGAAACTATGCTAGCGTCTACTCCAGTCTCCTAATGCAGGGCTTGGACGAAGTGGTTATGTGCCAAGAGCTGTTCTGCAGGGCTCACAGCCCCCTTCCCCCACTGCCATATCTGGGATCTTTGTGGGTGGGCCCCAGAACAGCTCAGCCCTTGGAATAGGGAGACTGAATCCAACCCAGGGCTTCTCTGCTCGCAGCCCCACACATCCCTGCCTTCTCCTAAGCTCCTCCGCTGGGATGGAAATCTACCCCCGCACAAGCTGGGAGACAAGGAGCCTTGGTGGCCATCACCCATCTTCTCGGTCGTCCTTCCATTTTTACAAATTAGAATGGGCTGGTAGTCACAACCCGGGTCCCCAAACTTCCTAAAGCGGCCGAGCAGGGCGCAGGACCCCAGGTCACACTTCTGGAGGCCCCTAACTGCTTTGGCTGGGTTGTGGGTTTGAGCTCCTACTGCAGAGCACGGCCGGGGGCGGGGCCTGGCAGGCCGCAGAGCTTTGCAGAGGCGACAATCCAGGCTGTCTTAGGAGTTCTAGCCCCCTGCCTAGCACACCTCGCTTCCCAACGCTTCTCCATACCCTAGCTCCAACCCCTGCCCTGTCCCTGGAGCACTTTCCTTCTTTTACACACATCCTTGACCCACCCCAGTTACCACGTGTATTTGCTGGTGCAGCCTCTTTCTAGTAGTGTGTCTGCCTGTAACTTTCTTCTTCCTCCTTGGCTTGGCTAATGCCTCCTCAGCCTCAGCCTCAGCTGTCAGCTAGAACACTGCTTCTTCGTTGTGTCCTTCCCTGAGGCCCCAGACCAGGTCAATCTCCGCTCCCTCCCATCTCTGGACTTCTACCAAAATGAGGCCCCAGCTCATGTGGAGTCTGATTGTGGAAAGAGGCAGAGGAATAGAGAAGTGGTTTGCTGGCTCAGCAGAGCGAAGGCAAGGCTGACTCAACACTGGGGTCAAGGCCAGCAGGTTGGAAAGCGGAAGCTAAAGTGCCAGTGGAGAGGAGAAAGCTGAAGAAGCTGGTGAGGGCAGTAGAGTTGGAGAAGGAGCCCTGGTTTAAAAAGGCAGCAAGAGAGAGGAAAGTATGCCCAGCAAGACAAAAGAGGCAGGCATCCCACAGGCATTCATTTCCATCACCTGCCCTGTACCTGTTGTCCAATAAATGTTCAAAGGGAGGAGGTGAAAAACGATGGTTGCCTATTTCAGAGGACCCTGGTCTTCTTAGAGAAGTAGGAGGCTTAGGTCTTATAAAATATGGGCATTAGGAGTCAAAGGCCTATGAAGAAATACTCTCATTTGTTGATGTATTAGTTAGGATTGACTGACTACTGAGGGATCAACTACTAAAACAAGTAGACACAAAATGCAAGGCTCTAAAATGTAGTGTCTGTGCTACGGAATTTTAATTTTTGCTCACTTAATAGTCCAGGATGGGTATTCAGGTCAGTGGTTACCCAGGCCCCCCGTCCTCTAAGGTCCCAAGGAAGCAGAAAGAAGAGGAGGAGCATGCAAAGGAGGTTCTTGCAGGCCTGGTATGGAAAGAACACACACTTACACTCACCTTCCTTTTGAGAGACCTCACCCATTCGCAGAAAAAGACTGGAAAATGCAGTCTAGCTGTGTGCCCCTAGAAGGGAAGGACAGAGTTTGGTGGACAGCTAGTGGTCTTCACTATGGTAGGCAGAGTAATGGACCCCAAAGATGTCCTAATCCTCAGAATCTGTGAATACGTTGCCTCACGTGGCAAAAGGGACTTTGCAGATGTTTAGGATCTTGAAATGAGGGTGTTATTCTGGATTATCCCAGTGGCCCAATGTAATCATGAGGTTCTTGTAAGTGAAAGAGGGAGTCAAAATTGAGGCAGCATGAGAAAGTCTTGTCTGGCCATTGTTGGCTTTGAAGATGGAAGGGGGCCATATGAGCAGGATGCAGACAGTCCGTAGAAGCTAGAAAAGACAAGGAATGGATTCTCCTCTACAGCCTCCAGAAAGAATGCAACTTCTGCTGACCTCTTGATCTTAGGCCTGAGATACCCATTGTGGACTTCTGGTCTCCAGAACTCTAAGATAATAAATGTATGTTGTTTTAAGCCACCAAATTGTGGCAATGGGAAACTAATACAACCACATTTAGTACTTCCTTTTTTAAAAACACGACCTACTGGTAGTAGGAAGCATCATTTTAAATTCTTTTTTTTTTTATTATGTTATGTTAGTCACCATACAATACATCACCAGTTTTCGACGTAGTGATCCATGATTCATTGTTTTCGTACAAAACCCAGTGCTCCATGCAGTACGTGCCCTCCTTAATACCCATCACTGGGCATTATTTTAAATTCTAAGAAAATAAGACTACGTCTTCACCTTCCACCTTGTGCACAAGCCTACTGATGCATGAGCAATCAGGGGCCAGTCAGGCTGGTGGACTTTAATGTAAAGAGGCTCTAGAACAGCGGTTCTCAAAATGTGGTCCCCGGACCGACAGAATCTGAATCAGCTGAGAATTTTCTGCAAATTCTTAGCCACTCCCTAAATCAGCTCTAGGACCCAGTAGTCTGTGTTTTAACAAGCCCACCACATGATTCTGACACTTGCGCAAGCTTGAGAACCACTGTTCTAGGATGGGAGCACTGTTCTAGATTGAAGGAGACCAAAAAGATGCAGATACTAAGTTAACAATGCAGGATTCTGAACTGAATATTTTTATTCCAAAGGACATTACTGGGACAATTAAAGAAACTTGGATGGGGTCAGGACATTGGATGGTAGTACTGAGTCAATGTTAATTTTCTGGTTTTGATGATTTTATGGTGGTGATGTAGAAGATTCTTGCCTGTAGGAAATATACACTAAAAGTATTCAAAGGTGATGGGGTGTCTGGTCAGCCACTTAGCTTTCAAATGGTTCAGGAAGAAAAGGAGTTTTATATTGTACTTTCTATTTTACTTTGAGACAGTTTCAATATTTAAAAAACCAGTATAAGGCGCTTGGGTGGCTCCGTCGTTAAGTGTCTGCCTTCAGTTCAGGTCATGATCCCAGGGTCCTGGGATCGAGCCCCGTGTCGGGCTCCCTGCTCAGCAGGAAGCCTGCTTCTCCCTCTCCCACTCCCCCTGCTTATGTTCCCTCTCTCACTGTGTCTCTCTCTGTCAAATAAATAAATAAAAAATGTTAAAAAAAAAAACCAGCATACACCATTTTTCAAATATCAGCTTGTCAAAGATGAAAAATGTTGATAATACCTAGTGTTGGTGAAGGTGGGGGAAATAGAAAGTTCTATACGCTACTGTTGGAAGTATAAGTTGTTGCAATATTTTTGGATAGCAAGTTTATACTATCAAAAATTTAAGGCAAATTTTGACTCAACAATCTGTCTTTAGAAATGTAACCTTCAAATGTAGCCAATGATATTGTAATAGTGTTGTATGGTAAGACTTGTGCTAAGCATAGCATAAGGTATAAACTTGTCAAATCATTATGTTGTACTCCTCAGACTAATGTAATATTGTGTGTCAACTATAGTCAGATACAATTTTTTTTAAAAACCAAAAAAAAAGTTTAATTTTTATGATTCTAAAAAAAAGGAAAAAAATGCATCCTTCAGATAAATTTCTGTAAGGGTGAGAAAATATATTTTATTGCAAAACTGCTTATACTAGCAAAAAAACTGAAACAACCCGAACGTTTACCACTGGGAACTGGTTCAGTTATGGTAATACAGTAAGTTACCAGGAAGCCCTTAGAAAGAATGCAAAAGATGTCTATGTCCTTTTGCAGAAAGGAGAACCACCACATTAATGCATGAAAAATCGAAAGCAAAAGTTTGGAAGCAAAAGTGCCCCCTTTGAACAGTGCAAAGCGCCATCTCAAGTAGACTTCGCTTCATGTGCTCCTGGTGCTGCTGGGTCGGTTCAGGACCAGTGAGAACCTCTTGTCTGTTCAAATTCTTGAAAGTATAACTGCACAGATTATTGGTTTGGATTCCAAAACAGTTATGTTATCTTGAGTTTAAAATGGTTGTGTCCTGACCAAAAAAAAAAAACCAACCTCCAGATCTGGTCAGATCCTAGCCACTTAGGGACCCTGGGCACCAACGTGAACATCCCTGTGATGTGCTGAATCCTGCCCAGATGCTATCTTGCTTCTGATAAGATTTTGAAGCTGGTTGGGGCACCTGGGTGGCTCAGTTGTTGAGCATCTGCCTTCGGCTCAGGTCATGATCTCAGGGTCCTGGGATCGAGTCCCATGTTGGGCTCCATGCTCAGCAGGGAGTCTGCTTCTCCCTCTGCCTGCCGCTCCCCCTGCTTGTGCTCTCTCTCTCTCTGACAAATAAATAAATAAAATCTTTTTAAAAAATATTTTCAAGTTGGTTAACTAAACGAGGAACTTATTCTAACCCTACAATGGGTGTATGTTTCTGGTACCTTCACACCAGTCTGCAGCCCACCTGAAATACTGCAGTTCGGGACTGGCTAAAAGAGGTGAGCAGGGATCCCCAGATGGAGGCCCCATTTAGTCATCAAGACTATGTTCTGTGCAGAAGTTCTAGGATGGTGTTTGTCTGCTGTCCCCTTCCCCTGACTGATTAGGCACTAAGGCACTGTTAGTCTTGGAGAGTGGTCTAAGTCGAGGGCTGGTGTGCCCAAGGGCAGATCTCCGCACAGGCCACGAGAGGGTCAGTTGACTTCAGAGAGGGCTAAGGGGCTGGGGGACGAGGAAGGCCCTGAGGTTGCTCCTCAAAGCCCCACTAGTCAGCATTTCTCCAGACAGAATAAACTAGGTAACATCCAAGATTCTAGATGTGGGGGGAAGTGAGAGCAAAACTGGGGAATGATGTAACTCTTCCTCTTAAAAGTAGCTTAAAAATGGGGCGCCTGGGTGGCTCAGTCGTTAAGCGTCTGCCTTCGGCTCAGGTCATGATCCCAGGGTCCTGGGATGGAGCCCCGCATCGGACTCCCTGCTCAGCAGGAAGCCGGCTTCTCCCTCTCCCACTCCCCCTGCTTGTGTTCCCTCTCTCGCTATGTCTCTCTCTGTCAAATAAATAAATAAAATCTTTAAAAAAAAAAAAAAAGTAGCTTAAAAAAACTTTTTTTTTTTTTTTTGGATGGGGAGGAGGGTAGTAAGATCACAGGAAGAAATGTTAGAGTATTGCTATTATAGTATTTCTGTTGTAACATACTTTTATCTTTATTTTTAGAGGGAAAAAACCCTCCTGATAAGGAAGCTGGAACCTAGGAGCTCCAAGGTTTGTGCTCACTGAAGTGTCTTGTTTTGTTTTGTTTTAATTGTATCTTCAGACGACAGGCTCTAAGAAATAACATTTTTTTTAATAAGTGACTTTGATTGAAAAATTTTAAATATGTAATTGAAACAGCTTCAAGATGACTTAACGATTAGTAAATAACTAACATATGTATCTCAGATATTGTTTTGTGGAAGGAGAAAGGGAACTTGCCTGATGACAGGCCAACTGAAACAAAATTGGGAGGATGGCAGTGTTCCCCCCAAAAAATATTATCCAAAAATTATTTACTAAGCCTAGGGGTCTTTGAGAAGGGATTCTTTTTTCCAGTTTGTGTTCACTTTAGACTCCTAGCTTTAGACCACAAACTTTGTAGTTCCTGAATCAAGTTCCTTTTTTTTTTTTAAAGATTTTATTTATTTATTTGAGAGAGAGAGAATGAGAGAGAGCACATGAGAGGGGGGAGGGTCAGAGGGCAAAGCAGACTCCCTGCCGAGCAGGGAGCCCGATGCGGGACTCGATCCAGGGACTCCAGGATCATGACCTGAGCCGAAGGCAGCCGCCCAACCAACTGAGCCACCTAGGCGCCCGCGAACAAGATTTTGTTTTCTTTTTCTCAGGCATCTCCTCTTGCTGGCCTTTTTTTTTTTTTTTTTTTTTTTTTTAGATTTTATTTATGTATTTGACAGAGACATAGCGAGAGAGGGAACACAAGCAGGGGGAGCGGGAAAGGGAGAAGCAGGCTTCCCGCTGATCAGGGAGCCCGACATGGGGCTCGATTCCAGGACCCTGGGATCATGACCTGAGCCGAAGGCAGTCGCTTAACCAACTGAGCCACCCAGGCGCCCCTGAATCAAGTTCCCTTTTGCTGAAAGTTAACAAAATATAAAGGAGAGCTTTAGGCAGTGAAAAAAAAACTTGTAGAAAGTTGTAAGGCCCAGGGCTGAGAGCTTGGCAGATAGCAGTGTATCAGTCAGATGCCAACTAGGAAAACAGAAACCACTCTAAGTATTTGGGCAGCGGGAATCTAATACAGGGAATTGGTGACACACTCAGAGATCAGCATCAGAGAAAGCCCCTGCCAGACGTCATCAGATACAGCTTTTAAAATAATGTTTAAGCAAAATAAAGAGACATATTTGGCATACTATAAAAAAGGAAACAAATGGAAAGTCTCTAACTGAAAAATAGGGTATCTATTTAATGGGAGATTACACAGCTAACGAGAGACTTGGTGAACTGAAATACAAGTTATATCCAGAGTGAAGCCTGGGCAGGGCGGGGGGGACAAAGGGATGAAAGTGAGAGGTTAAGGTTACTACTTAACCACAGGGATTACGGTGAGAAGGTCCAATATACCTTCACTGGAGTCATAGAAGGAAAGAGAAAGAGAATGAGGGTGCCCAACGGCTGAGAATTTACCCAAACTGAAGATACGGACCCACAAATTTAAAAGCCCAAAGAATCTGAAGCAGCATTACTATAAAAAAAAAAAAAATCCACACCTAAACATACCATAGTAAAACTGGAATAAACCAAAGACACAGGAAACAAACTTAAAAGCATGCATTAAACAGAAAGATGAACAGCCAACTGCTCACCAGACCGTACGGAGGTCAGACCTTGGTGGCTTGATGCCCTCTACTGTGACAAAAGGGCTCAACCTAGAATTCTATTCCTGGGGACAAATATCTTTTAAGAATGAGGTGGAATAAAGTCATTTTTAGGCAAACAAAAATTGGAAGGTGTTACCTCTAACAGGACAGAATGTCCTAAAGGATGTTTTTCAGACAGAAGGAAGGAAAATGACCCCATATGGAAAGTTGAGGAGGCAGAGAAGGAGTAGATATGAAGATAAATCTCAGTAAACATTTCGTGTAGAAAACAGTAATACTGTATTTCAATACATATCCATACACCTGTATATGTACACAATGAAAGTTCACAAAAACGATAGCATATAAAATGACAGGTAAATGAAGGTAAAGTATTCCGAGATCCTTTCATTGTCTAGTATGAAGATAAAAGTGCCAATTAACACGAGGCTTTGATAAATCAAGAATGGATCTTTTAAGTCCTTGGCCAGTAAAAGAAGAGAAAAAGTGTGTAACGTCCAGACCAACAGAGGGAAAAGTAGAATAATAGACTAATCGTAATAGAAGCCTAATGGAAGATTTCTAACCCAATCTGAAAGAAGTCAAGAGAAGAGATCACAGGGCCGCCTGGGCGGCTCAGTCGGTTCAGCGTCTGCCTCGGGCTCGGGTCATGATCCCAGGGTCCCGGGATCGAGCCCCACGCTGGGCTCCCTGCGCTGCGGGAAGCCTGCTTCTCCCTCTCCTCTGCCCCTCCCCCTCTGCCCGTGCTCGGTCTCTCGCTTTCTCTCTCTCTCAAGTAAATGAATAAAATCTTAAAAAAAAAAAAAAAAAAGAGATGACATAACCTAGGTCAGGAAAGCAGTGAATAAGATTTAAGCCCAAACGTACTGGAAATTATACATGGAAGGCTTAATGTTCCTGTTAAAAGAAATTATCGGACTAGATTAAAAGCACAACATGCTATTTCCAAAGGACACATATCCAAGAGACACATCTAAACACATCTTTGGGCTTTTAAATCTAGTGAAAGAATGGAAAGATATGCCACGTAACAGTAATTTTTTTTGATGTTATTAACAGAAAAAAATAGACTTTAAATAAGAAAAGGCATTACTACAGAGAGAGGCTTTCTTCTTACAATTTCAATTCACCAGGAAGATGCGACAATTCTATACTTACATGCATCTAATAACATGGCCTCAGATACATAAAGCAAACTTCACAGATCTGTAAGTGGAAATCATTAAATTAAATTAATTACGTCATTAATGGACAGAAAGCAGATAAAAATCCATTAAGGATAGAGAAATCTGAACAATGCATTACAAACTTGATCTAATGCTTTATCTAGACAAGTGCACCCAGCATCTGCAGAACACACATTCTTTTTCAGTGACCATGGAAGCTTCACTGAGATCAAACACGTGTTGGGCCATAAGCAGATTCCAGCAAATGTCAAAGGGTAGCAATTGTGCAGATACGTTTTCTGACCACAATGTGGTAATAGAACTAGGAAGGCCACGTACATTTTAAACATTTATTCTATGGGATCTGTTGTGATTATTTGTGGTTTTTATTCTTTCTTTATTACACCAGAGGTTTATCAATTTTAACACTCTTTCCAAAACACCAACCTAACTTTTGATCCTTTCTATTGTGTCGTTTTGTTTCATTAATCTTTGCTCTTATTTTTATCTCCTTAACTTTAAAAAACAAGACAGATCACTAGTCAATTTAACAAGGATGTTCGTATAGAGATTTGCAAAATACAAAATGCTTTTTCATGAATCCTTAAAGCAACCTTGTGAGTTGGATCATTTCCCTCATTTTACAGATGGGGAAATTATAGACGGGAAAAGAGATTCATAGTTGTTGCATTCACTGGAATGCTGGCCCTAAAGTTTATATCCAAGACCAGAGGAACTTCTGCTCTCCTCCAGGGCTTTGCCCTGCCAACCCCTGGACCTCTTCTTATTCTTTGAGATCTTAAGGGACACTCACCCCCAAACAGCCATGGTTAAGATGGTGGAGGCTTGACTCCCACCAACCCTTTGTGTATTAATTTCTAGCCCATCTATTGCCAGGAAAACAGGGGGCCGGGGGAGAAGCAAAATGCACATAGTATGAGTGGGCAGGATGCCTAAGCTGGAGAAGCAAGTGTGAATCAGCCCTGGTCCCATCCAACACTCTTGGTCACTGGAGGAGCTGGAGGTTTCTTCTGCTGACCTTTTCCAGCCTGAAAAAGCAAAGCATCGTTGCTTAGAAACAATGGATTGCTTGCTTAGAAGCAAGATACAGCTGAGTAACCAGATCTAAACAATCATTTTTCTCGAATCTCATCTTAGGTTGTATCTGTGTGTGGGGTGGTCCTTGGGATATTTTCTTGGCTTTCAGATGGGGCTGCCTTCCACTACCTGACTGTCCGGTCACTAGTCCTGGGACAGGGGCCACCACATGGCGAGACTTACTTCACACACCTTTATGCTAAAGCTTCTCATTCCAGGCAGACTTCTAAGGCCTCTAATAACACTAACTTCTCCAACTCGCTACTATTATTATTCCAATAAATGACAGCTGAGGACACACAACATAAAACAGAAGACTTACTTGCCTAAAGCCATCTGGGATAAGTGAAAGAGCCCTTGTTTGCATCTGGGCTTTGTGGTGGAAAGACCACATTTTGACCACAATACTTTGTAGTCTCTCTACATGGGACTCACACAAACTCCTTCCTGAGTATAAGTGATACTCTCCACAGCCTGAGAAGAACTGCCACGTCTAAATGGGAACACCCTGTAGAAAGAATTGTGTTAAAATTTGTGACTTCTTTCTCCACGTCTCCAGGCTGAGGCACTCAGCTGAGGCTGGAAAAGAGGCATGGAGAAACCTACCAGCCCGAGTAATCCCCTGGAAGAGGTTATACCCAATTTTTCAAGGTCCTGAGGCAGACTTCATGTCCCCACTGTCTGACCTCAGCTAGCTGGTCCTCAGTTGACCCTCTCTCGTTTTTTAATCCCATGAGAGAAAAGTTCCCTTGCATTGCATGACTGGTACTCAGTACCACCTCACCCCTAGAATGTCCATACATAAACACAGATGAAATTATTTTTTAGGTTTTCACTTTCAAATTCACTAATAGAGAGTGCATGCCTATGGAAGGCTTTTCCATACTTACTATTGATTAAGGTTTCTCCTTCTGCTTTTTTTCCTCTCCCTCCTCTCTCCTCTTGCTTCTTCTTCGAGTTCCCTAAGGACTGAACTCACTCCATAGTCCTTCCCATACACTCCACATCTATAAGATGTGAGACCCTTAGTTAAGTTTTGGTTAAGTTACATTTTCCTAGGAATTTTTTAAAAATTTCATATAACATTTCTAACTTATTGTAATAAAATTATAATATAATTAATCTTAGTGTTTTAATACCTGTAGCATTTGTAACATCAAACTTTAGAAATTCTCTGAGACTTCAACTCCAAGGGCCTGGGTATTTATTCAAATGGTTGCAGAGGAACTGTCTCTCCAAACATGAGGAATGAGATGGGTTTTATAAGGGAAATAAACTAAAGCAACAGTGTTCACTGCAGTTTGGGTGGGCTTTGGTTATGTAGGTGGCAATCTTTCAGAAACGGATTGTGTTTCTTTGTGATTTGGCTCACTCATGTTACATCCTGTTCTCAGAATTGTTGACTCAAGGAATTTAGAGGGAGTGGGTTATTCTCTCAGTAGCAGGGAGTGAAGAGGTCAGTGCATGTTCAGAGAGTAGAAAATTTTACAGTTCTCCTTATTCCCCCTTTTTATTCCTGACTTTGGTTTTCTTTTTCCTTTGATCAATCTCACCAGAGGGTTGTCAGTTTTATTAGTCTTTTCCAACACACACACACATGCATTTGGTTTTGTTGATCCTCTATATTGTGTTTGTTTTCCTATTTCATAAAGGTCTACCTTTTATTACTTTCTTATTTTAACTTTTTGGGGATTTATTTTGATTGTTCTAACTTTTTGAGATGGTACTTAGGTGATTAATTACTAGATTTTCTGATTTTCTTAAATATCTTTTTAGGCTATAAATGTCTAAGCACAGCTTAAGCAATATCCCACTGGTCTTGATTACAGTAGTCAGATCAAAATATTTTCTTCCTTGGGCGCCTGGGTGGCTCAGACGGTTAAGCGTCTGCCTTCGGCTCAGGTCATGATCCCAGGGTCCTGGGATCGAGTCCCGCATCGGGCTCCCTGCTCCTTGGGAGCCTGCTTCTCCCTCTGCCTCTCTCTCTCTCTGTCTCTCATGAATAAATAAAATCCTAAAAAAAAAAAAAAAAAAAAAAAATTTTCTTCCTTGAGCCATGATTAAGAAAAGTATTTGTAAATTTCTGAATACAATGGGGATGGCCTAAGTATCTTTTCATTATTAATTTCTAACTAAATTGCATAGTCAAGCTAACATACTCTGTATGATTTTAATTCTATAAAATTTGTTAATGTTTACTTCATGATCCAGCATATGATCAGTTTCTGCCCCAGCTTGAGATATAATTGACATGTAACATAGTGTAGGTCAATTTTTGAAAATGTTTCATGTGTGCTTGAAAAAAAATGTGTATCCTTAACACAGTGGTGCAGGGTTCCATGTATTAGATTGCTTACTAAATCAGTGTTCAAATCTGTAACTTTACTAATTTTTAATATTCTTGTCCTATTAATTACTGAGAGGTATCAAGAAATCTCCCATCATGATTGTGGATTTTATATTTCTTCTTTTAGTTCTGCATATATTTGCCAACTCTGAGCTATGTTATTAGGTAGATACTAACTCAAAACTGTTACATCTTTCCATTATGTTCTCTCCCCTGGACATTTTGTCTTAATGTAATAAATGATTCCCTTTATCTGTAGGAATAGTTTATGACTTAAAGTATCTATTTCATCTAATATTAGTAGAGCTACACCAGTTTCTATTGATTACTATTTGCTTCAAATAACTTTTCTATTCTTTCACTTCCAAATCTTGAGTCTTCTCATATTTAAAGTGAGTCTCTTGTACACAGTATACAATGGAGTTTTATATTTTTGTCTGCTACAGTGTGAATGTTTGTATTCCCCACAAATTCACATGTTGGAATCCTAATGCCCAGTGTGGTAGTGTTAGGAGGTTGGGATAGTGTTAGGCGGTTGGGATTTGGGAAGTGATTAAGTCATGCGAATGGAGCCCTGATAAATGGGATCAGTGCTATTATATGAGACCCCAAAGAACTTCCCAGCCCTTTCCACCACATAAGGGTACGATTAGAAATCTGCAACCTGGGGCGCCTGGGTGGCTCAGTCGTTAAGCATCTGCCTTCAGCTCAGGTCGTGATCCCAGGGTCCTGGGATCAAGCCCCACATCGGGCTCCCTGCTCAGCGGGAAGCCTGCTTCCCCCTCTCCCATTCCCCCTGCTTGTGTTCCCTCTCTTGCTCTCTAATAAATAAATAAAATCTTAAAAAAAAAAAAAAAAAAAGAAAGAAAGAAAGAAACCTGCAACCTGGAAGAGAGCCCTCACCCAAACATGCTGATCTCCAACCACTCTGATCTTCAACTTCCAGCCTCCAGAACTATGAGAAACACATGTCTGTTGTTGATAAGCCACCCAGTCTATCGTATTTTGTTATTGTGGCCTGAACTAAGACATTGTTTGACAATCTTTGTGACTTAAAAAGAAATACTGGTATTTTTGGCTTAAGATCTACCACTGTTTTTTGATTTTTAAAAATTCATTTTTCCTCTACTAGTATTAAAAATATACATTGTATTTTATGATTCCCCTAGATTTTACAATGTGTATGAGATTAACCAAAGCTTTACCTCATATAATACTTAAATTCTTTTTTACTCTCTGGACAGATATTATTGTTGTCTGATATTTTGAGTCTATCTTAACAACTCTAAATCCTTATTGTTTTGTATAAAAATGTTCATTTTCATGTGCCTACATAGCTATTAACTCTTCGCGCTTCCTTCTTGCATCTCAGAACATCATCTGGGATCATTCTCTTTCTGTATTAAAATGCATTCTTTAGAATTGCCTTTAGTGAGGGTCAGCACAGGAAAACAAAACAAGTTTTGTCCTAAAATGTATTTATTTTGTCCTCACTCTTGAAAGCTATTTTCACTGGGTATAAATGTTCAGGCTGACAGTTATTTTCTATCTTTATACTCATGTTTTCATTCCACTCTTTCATCTGTTGTTGCTGAGAAGTCTATTGTTCTTTGAAGGTAATTTGTCTTTAGCTGTTACTGCAGTTACACTATGATGTGTGTAGATGTGATCTTTGTAAATGCATTCTTTGGGCTTTTAAATGTGTAGCCTTGGGGCGCCTGGGTGGCTCAGTTGGTTAAGCAGCTGCCTTCGGCTCAGGTCATGATCCCAGGGTCCTGGGATCGAGCCCCACGTCGGGCTCCCTGCTCCGCGGGAAGCCTGCTTCTCCCTCTCCCACTCCCCCTGCTTGTGTTCCCTCTCTTGCTGTGTCTCTGTCAAATAAATAAATAAAATCTTAAAAAATAAATAAATAAACGTGTAGACTTGTGTTTTTCATCAGCTCTGGAAAATTCTCAGCCCAGTCCCTTTGGCCCTTTTCTTCTGTCCTCACCTTCTGAGACTGTGACTTTACATATATTTATATGTAAAACTTCCCAATGAAATCTTCCCTTGTCTATTTTCCCGTATTTTTCTAACCCCATGCTGCATTCCGGGTAATTTTTCCACCTTTATCTTCCAGTTCACCAATTCTATTTTTAATTTTGTCACAATCTGTAGCCAAATGCATCTTTAAATATTTTAAACAAAAAGTTTAAAATTTTTAAATTATAAAAAACCCGTATCTGATAATTTGTGACGTCTACGTCAATCTGTTCTGCTCTAGTTTTGTCACGTTGCCTTTTCCCCCTTGTGTCTTACTAATTGCTCCTGAAAAATTACCTTTAAATTCCCTGAGGTCTAGATTGAAGAAGGCCTCTTCGCAAGGTGCCTTGTGTTGCTTTGGCCAGGGCCCAGGTTGTGCTTACCCGGGTCACAAGGGCCACGAGGTGTCAGGGACATTTTCTTTTCCCTTTCTTCTCTGCTGCTCTGCTCGGTTACATGGCCACTGTCGGTACAGCCCCCAGGGACTGAGGGATGCCTTCTTTTGAGGTTGTAGCACTTTGGGAACCCAGGTTAACTTCAGAAAGGTCTCGTTAAGACTCACCACCTTAGGGGGCCTGGCCCTGACGGTCTCTCTCACTCCCTGTGGCTGGTTAAGTGGGACCCAGCTCTGCAGCATCAGCTGACAGGTCAGGACAGAAGGTGCTTTAGTGTTCCCTTCTCTGATGACAGCATCTCATTTTTAAACTGTCCTGTTTAAACTACAGTCTTTTTATCTTCAATGCTCTCTTGAGAGGAAGGGGTGGAATGCTATCTACAATTTTTTAAAAATGAAGTCTTTCATTGTTGTTGGTATGATATTGACCCAAGTAACCTACCTACCTTTACCAGAAGGTACTGTCCTGCCTTTTCAATGTTGTTTTTTCTCCTTTCCAGACTTCGAGGTTTTCCAGTCCAGATCTTTATGTACTTGACTTCTATCCTTCTGGTCTGCCCATGACATTTTACCATACATAGTTAACAAAACCCAGAGCTAAAGGCATCTTGACCTCCTCAGAAATAATACCAAGCACTTTAGGCCACTTTCATGCAGATCTTCCAGCCCTCAATTTAACCTACTATGGTCTAACATTTCAATTCTACCTTCAGTCCTTTGAATTAGACTCTGCCTTTTTAAAGAAGTGTTTTGATTTACCTACATGTTGGCAAGTTTAATTCTCTTCTTGCGCATCAGGCATTTTCCCTGGGAAGAGGTGGGGGATGGTGCTCCTGAAACACGCTCCAGGTCTGAGGTTAAGCCTGAACAGCTCATTGAATCTGTACCACAAACTCCACCTGGCACAGGAGGAAACCATCTGAGAGCAGCTTAAGCGGCATGTTACTGGCCCCGGTGGACTGGAGGCCCATTTCCTGTGGGCCAGTCAGTGGAGGCCTCAGTAGGAGCGTGTCCTACTGCTCAGCAGGCTGGAGCACTTGGAACCCCCACTTGAGCGGTAGCCACCCTCTCTCGTTATTTCATCGGTTTCTCTCCCAATTGTAGGTGGCACGTTAGGTCCAGGTGGAGCTCACGTACATGGGTGTGTGTGCCTGGAGGAGTGGTGCTCAAGCCACTGGTGACCTCAAGTGAAGGAAAGATGGATAATACCTGGGGACTCCTTGGAATGGATATCCTATGGCCTTCCTTTCTGCCCACTATGCACCAACCCTGAGGACGAGTGAACTTTTCTGATGAGGCTTTTCATCGGACCATCCTACTTCCCACTCCTCCCTCTTTAAAAACCCAACTGTCCCACCCAGATATCACTGCTGCCTCCCTCTTCCCCATTGGTGGTGGCCACTGTCCTCTCAACACTGCAGTGTTTGGTTCAGCATCCATTAGTGTGGTTTTCCTTGTGGACCTTCGCCCTTACCTAGCCTTTACTCCTGCTGCCTAGCTCCTAGGACAGGGGATCGTGCCTAGCAGAGCCTCAGCAAGTTATTTGCTGAATCCATCAATCCAAGTCTGTGGAGAGGGCCAGTGTTCTGAGAAGGACAGAACAAGCGTGGCTGTGGCGTTCCAAAGGGGAGCTGAGTGGCAGAAATGCTCTTTCCCTCTCCATCAAAACCTACTGGTGGAGGCTTGGAGACAAAGTGGAAGAATTATACCCCTAGAGAGAGGCATGGAAATTATGGGAGGCTAGAACGGGGCTAGAGACAAACCCTAGAAAGCCAGGAAACTATCTAGGTAGAGACTGCTCTCTGGGAAGGAGAGTGGATTTTGGACCCAGAGAGACAGGACAGGCGCCATCCGGAGTATTCTTGGACAGCTTACCTGACTCTCAGAAGACTCCTTTTACCCTTTGAGTCACCTAGCTAACAGCTTTAACACATAAACAACATTTTCTTAAATTCTGTTCCCAAAAGAATGATTTCTGTGAGGTGACACATCAGTCCCACAGCCTGCCCACTTCCAGGAGCTATGATCCAGGCCCAGTATGAGGATCAATCCATTTTGCACTTCTCCCGGTGGAGACGCCACCTAATTTCTTGTGAAACCTGAGCTTCTAGCCCTACGGGAAAGTCCCCTGCTGCACTCCCTGCTTTGCCTTTGGTCTCACTTACCCAACAAAGATACGGCAAATTGTTTTCTCTGTGTACTGCTCCATCTAAAGTCAGTCAGAGCCTGTTTACTTTTGAGGAATTTCTTTATTGGAGTTCCGCCTTACCTCACCATGACTATCTGGCTCTTCATGGCCAAGACAGAGTGGGCCCTGAACAAAGTATTCATAACATTTTACAACAGACAATACACACATGGAGTGCATGAAATCTTTACAGTAACACATTCCAAAACAATCAAACATTTAACAGACTATTAAGAAGCATGAATTTCCTCCAATCCCTCAATTATCAATAGCTACTTAGCTTTCTAGCTCTTCAATAAAATCACTTTCTTAGCATTCCTATTCACAGGAATCCCTGAATCAATTATTTTTGTGTAGGTGCAAATTCATGTCAAAGACGTGTTCCGTTAGTTATTTAATGTGCTGAATGTCTGTCTACGGTAGAACCTTGTATTTGTAGCATAATGTGTGAGGTCTTCACTCATCACACTTCATTCATTGAGGTTCATTTGAAATTTTTTAAGTTTTGCCCATTCAACCAGTGTATTACAACATTACAACCGTATCGTCCAATCAACTTACTTTTTTAAATGACTACTTCCTGCTAGATTCAGGTCTACACTTTTTACTCTTCAACAAAATCCAATTTTGTTTCAAAATTTATCACCCCTCACAAATTATTCAATTATATCAAATTTATACTTCATGATCACTACTATTAAATAAATTTATGTTCCCTGAAGCCTATCTCTCCCTGAATGTGCCTGTTGGGAGGCTCTCCTTGTATTTTTTCCCACTGACCAATGTATAATTAGGATTCAAAGCTATACCTGAATTCCCCCCATTTATATTCACAGAATTTACCCAAGTAATGAACTTTCTGTTGGTAACTACATGACCTCTAAGTGAAATCCCTTCCTCATCCATGTGTTTTATGTCCAGAAAGTTCTGCTTATTTTGAAGGTTTTTAAATCACTTTGTCACTTTGATAGGTTTTACCCCCAGTATAAACTATTTTGTGTTCCATAAAGGCTCAACTACCTTGACATTGGAGGCTTCCTTGCTGGCTATAATGAAGATCACACCAAAGAGTACTCATAGTTTCCTTTATGTCAATTACAAGCCATGAACAAAGAGCTCAGATATTCATACATTCATAAGGTTTTTCTTCCATTTGAGTTGAGACTTGGTAAGCTCTGCCTCCTACAGATATGCTCATCTTGGTCCCATCCCGAGCATTCCCTCCCTCGTGAGTTCTCTTCTGTGATATGTCGCTGTGACTTCCCATACTTGTCACATTTAAAGATTCCTCTCCAGTATGGGTTCTTTTATGCTTGGTGAGATTTGATCTGATATTAAAAGCCTTCCCACACTCATTACATCGGTATGGCTTCTTTCCAGTGTGGATCCTTTTGTGTTGGTCAAGAACTGATCTGTAATTGAAGGATTTCCCACACTCGCAATTATAGGGCTGCTGCCCACGGTGGACGCTTTTATGGTTAATAAGACTTGAGTGGGAGATGTATGCCTTCCCACACTCATCACATTCATAGGGTTTCTCGCCTGTGTGAATCCTTTTATGCACTGTGAGGCCTGAGCTGTTCCTGAAAGCTTTTCCACACCTATCACATATATAAGGTTTTTCCCCTGTGTGGATCCTCTTGTGTTGAGAAAGGAGTGAACTGTAATTGAAAGATTTCCCACACTCAATACATTTGAAAGGTTTCTCCCCAAGATGGACTCTCTTATGGCTTATAAGAGTTCTGCTTGAGAAAAAAGCTTTTCCACATTCATCACATGTGTAGGGTGTCTTGCCAGGATGGGTACTTTTATGGTTAATAAGGCTTGAGTGTGAGATGTAGGCTTTTCCACACACATCACATTCATAGGGCTTCTCCCCGGTATGGATTCTTTTATGCACTTTAAGGCTTGAGTTGTTTCTGAAGACCTTCTCACACCTGTCGCATTCATAAGGTTTCTCTCTAGTGTGGACCCTTTTGTGTTGAGAAAGGAGTGAGGTGTAATTAAAAGATTTCTCACATACATCACATTTGTAGGGCTTCTCCCCAAGATGAATTTTTTTGTGGTTTATAAGGGTTCGGTATGTGATGAAGGCTTTTTCACACTCGTCACACTTATAGGGCTTTTCCCCAGGGTGTACACTTTTATGATTTATAAGGCTTGAGAGTGAGATGTAGGCTTTCCCACATTCTTCACATTTGTAAGGTCTCTCCCCAGTGTGGATCCGTTTGTGCACTTTAAGGCCTGAATTATTTCTGAAGGCTTTTCCACACTCATCACACCCAAAAGGTTTCTCCCTTGTATGAATCCTTTTATGTTGTTCAAGGGCAGAGCTGTAATTGAAAGATTTCTCACAATAGGTACATTTATAGGGCTTTTCCCCAAGATGGATTCCTTTGTGGTTTTTAAGGCTAGAGCGTGAGATATAGGCTTTCCCACACACGTCACACTTATATGGTTTTTCCCCAGTATGGAGCCTCCTGTGGACCTTTAGGCCTGAATTGTTCCTGAAAGTTTTCCCACACAAATCACACACATAAGGTCTCTCTCCAGTATGAATGGTTTTATGTTGAAGAAGGAGTGAGTTATAGCTGAAGGATTTTCCACACTCCTTACATTCATGAGCTTTCTTCCCAGGGTGAATGCTTTTATGAACTGCGAGGCCCGAGCTATAGCTGAACGCTTTGCCACAGACCTCACACTTGTAAGGTTTCTCTCCCGTGTGGATCCTTTTGTGCACTATAAGGCCTGAGCTGTTCCTGAAGGCCTTCCCACATTCATCACATTCATAAGGTTTCTCTCCAGTGTGGATCACTTTATGCTGAATGAGGAGAGAGCTATAATTAAATGATTTCTCACACTCATCACACTTGTAAGGTTTATCCCCAAAGTGGATGCTTTTATGGTTTAGAAGTGTTCTGCAAGTAATGAAGGCCTTCCCACACTCATCACATTCATAAGGTTTCTCGCCTGTGTGGATCCTCTTATGGACCCTAAGGCCGGAGCTATTACTGAACGTTTTCCCACAGATGTCACATTCGTAGGGCTTCTCCCCTGTGTGAATCCTTTTGTGGACTCTGAGACCAGAGCTGTTCCTGAAAGCCTTCCCACACTCACCACATTCATAGGGCTTTTCTCCTGTGTGGATCCTCTTATGCTGGTCCAAAACAGAGCTATAATTGAAGGATTTCCCACACTCATCACACTTACAGTTCTTCTCCCCAGAATGGGTGCTTTTGTGGTTTATAAGGCTGGAGTAGGACATGTAGGCTTTCCCACATTCCTCACACTTATACGGCTTCTCCCCAGTATGGATCCGTTTGTGGACTCGAAGGCTCGAGCTGCTCCGGAAAGTCCCTCCACAGTCATCACACTCATAGCGTTTTTCCCCCGTGTGCATAATTTTATGTTGAACAAGGCGGGAATTATATTTGAACGATTTCCCACACTCATCACATTTGTGTGATTTCTTAACAGCAATGGTTTTCTGCTGTAGACCAGGGTGAGAGGTTCCATTAATGTTCTCCACACATTTGTCTTGTTCACTGCTTATCTGGTCTACAGGGACAGTCTGGTGTATAACATGTTTTGAACTTGGACATAAGCTTTTCTCAGATGCCTCGTCTTCCTGTTCTGTCTTTATATTTGCTGTGTTCTTGGCTTTGCCAATCTTTTCCCTGATGCCACTTTTGTCTTCCTTCATTCTTTTTCCCTCAGGATTTTCCAGTTGCTTCTCTACCTTGCTATTCCAATCACAAGTTTCACCAACCTTATATTCCTGTATACGATCCTTGTGAAGACCTTCCACTTTTGGCCACATAGATTCTGCATTTCCAACATTTTCATACTTTTCAGTTGATTTCTCATCCTCAGTGCCCCTCGTCTTCAAATGTGACACTAAACCAAGAAAATGAAAATGATACCTGTTCACTTTGAATAGAGGAAACTGGAAGAATTACATCCAAATTTACTCATTCACTTGACAAATGTTTATTGACTGCATGCTGTGTGATTAAGTATCATTTTTAACTGCAGGGGATACAAGAGGGGACATGCCAAAATTTCTGCCCCTGTGGAGCTAATGTTAAAATGTTACAGCCCTGGATTTTCAATGGAACGAAGAATTTTTCTATTCTTGTATAACGGTTTAGCATGAGGGCAAGTTGAAATGGGTTGAAATGATGCACAGAACCAAGGACAACACTGATCAGTTTTTGGAAACGATCACCTGGTCATGAAAAAAACAAAGAGAAGAAATCTCTGAATAAGAGGAAACAGAAAAATTAATAAGACAAAAGAGACATAATCAGCAGAACTAAAGAGGCAAAGCTAAAAAAGAGAAGAAATCAGTACCTAAGTGGTGGTAGTGGGGCGATGGTAATGAAAGCACGAAGAAAGTCATGACAGACATGAGAAGGAAAGCAGACTGCAGCTTCCTGGAGTTGGTCTGGCCTCCTGGACTTCCCCTCCAAGGAAAACCTGCTCCCAGGAAGCGGGCAGTCAGGGAGGTAATCCATATGGAAGAGCATGCCCCAGCATGCCAGGCAAAGAGGCTTCCATTCCCACTTCATGAACAAGCTAACTGCAGTCAGAGCATATTGAAGCTAAGAAGCTAAGATACAAACCACCAAGCAAAGGAAATACTACCACAGGGTTCAAGTACCCAGCTGCATGACCCTGAGTTATTTAAAGTGTTGTGAACAACACCTACTACTTGGTGAGTTCTATATGCATAATTATTACTGTTTATTATTTGAGGCTGGGTTATTTGATCAGGGTTGGAACCTAGGTATAAAGCACAGGACTCAGGAAAGGTAAACTCCTTCCTAAAACAGATTTTAGGGCTCAGGCGGGGATTCTTTGTTCCCCCTGAAAGCATCCACTTGTCTCTACTACTCTGGGCACAGCGGTCCATGTTGCTTAAATGTGAGGGCTCTACTGGGCAGGCAGTAGAATTCCATCACCATCAACAGCAACACGCCTTTCGTCTGTGCTCTGAATCCTGCAATCAGGGCCCATGCTCTATTCATTCCCTTTGGCCTTGGCCCCTCCACCTCTATTCATCCTCAGCCCTCAGGAGAGAAAGATGTTCAAGTTCCTACAGCCATAAAACCAAATCCTCCAAAATAAACATACAAGGGACACCTGGCTGGCTGTCGGTAGAGCATGCGACTCTCGGTCTCAGGGTCGTGAGTTCAAGCCCTATGTTGGGCCTGAAGCCAACTTAAAATTAAAAAAAACAAAAATAAACACACAAATTGAGAGAGAGAAACATAAAAGGGCTCTGAGTGGGGACTAGCCACATTGGGGTATTGAAATACACCACGAGGCCTCTATAACTAAAGCAGCATGGTACCAGCGTACAGACAAAAGGAACAGAACAGAAAGTCCAGAAATAATACTAATGACACACAGAAATCAAGCATATGATGAAGATGATAGATCAAATTATTGGGGCAAAGATGGTCTTTAGAATAGTGTTGGAAACAACTATAAAGCCATTCTTTACACCACACTCAAGAATATAACTCCAATGGAGCAGAGCTCTAAATATAAAAACATGCTGCCATACAAATACTAGAAGAAAACATGAGTGAATGCCTCCTGAGTACAGAAAAAGTTTTCAAACTATGACACACATGCAATAAAAGAGGATGAATAGGGCGCCTGGGTGGCTCAGTTGGTTGAGCGCCTGCCTTCGGCTCAGGTCATGATCCTGGAGTCCCGGGATCAAGTCCCGCATCAGGCTCCCTGCTCGGCGGGGGGTCTGCTTCCCCCTCTGCCCTCTTCCCTCTCATGCTGTCTCTCATTCTCTCTCAAATAAATAAATAAAAATCTTAAAAAAAAAAAAAGAGGATGGATAAATTTGACTGTATAAATATAAATTACATGGCAAAAATGCTATAAGCAAAATTGAGAAATGACAAATCAAAAAATATTTGCAACGTGAATCATATATAAGAGCTAATATCCCTTATATAAACATTTTTCAAAAGTTGAAAAACATAGACTAAAATTCCTATAGAAAAATGTGCAAGAGACAGACAATTCACAAAAAGAAATATTAAAATGTCCCTTAAACATGTTTTCAATTCCACCCATAAGAGAAATGCAAGTAAGAACTACACTAAGATACCACTTCTCATCCGTCATATTAAAAGAATGACAACACACTCTGTTGGGAGAGGCTGTGGCGGAAACAGGCACTCTCATATATTAACGGGACTGTAGAGTGGCGTGACTCCTGTTAAGGGGCATCTGCCAATGTCTAAGTGAACTGTATGCATTTACACTTCAATCCAGAAATCCCATCTAGGAATTTATACTGAAGATCTATTTCCAACAAAAAAGTATATGTGCACAAAGCTATGCATGGTGGCCTTCATTGTAACTAGAGAATCTAGGAAACTACCTGAGTGTCTCAGCATAGAAGACTGGTTAAATAAACTATGGCACATATATGCAACGGAGTACTAACCAAGAATGAGGAACATCTCTGTCAATTGATTGAGAGGGAGCAATTTCCAGGATACCATGTAAACAGAAAAAGAGCATATATGCTATGCTTTATGTATGAAAGAAAAATAAGAAAACAAACATGTAACTGCTTATCTTTACAGTACTTAGAGAAACCGAAATCAATAAAGGTCCATTACCTGTAAGTGGTGGAGTGGGGAGAACAGAGCAAAGGGATAGGGAAGAGAGACACTCTAAGTATATATTTTTGCATAGTTTTTACTATGGAAGCATAATGTTCTGCATATTCAAAGAATAAAATTAAATCAATGAGAATTGGAAAAAGGAAAAGCAGCTAAACCACAAAGCAAACAGAAACAAATGAACTCATAGGAAGGGAACAAAAAGAAACAAAGAACTAACCCGTAATTTAGGCATATATCACAGAATATGTAACCATATACTATATTCTCTGTCTTGGCAAGGCTGGAGGGGTGGTAGGGAAGCCCTGAAAACAACAGAATTTTTAAGCAGCTTTGTTTTCTGCAGAGGTATGGACAAAGTAATTTAAAAGAATTTTAGATGTGTTGAGGGACTGAGTAAATGTGTTGATTTAGTTGCAAGCCAGTGCTCTCCTGGAGAAAGAAACATAAATATGGAATAGGGGAAGGCAAGAGAGAACCCTGTGCGAATTAATCAGAGGTTATCGCATGATTTCCTAAATTACGTGTGTGCGTGCACATGTCTACGCATTCACATGTATGTATATTCATGTGTGTGTATATGTACACATATTCCCTAGCTCTCTGCTGAAAAGCTAAGAAGCAAAAAACACCTAAGTAGTAATAAGCACATCCAGCACGCTGTTCTTGGTCTCCCATTGCCTACTAAAAGGAAGCAGAGCTCCTCAGAGAAATGGCAGATTCTAGGCTGTGGCAGGATACACACAAGATGAGTTCTTCTCTTTCCTTACCCTTCCGCATCCACAAGAGCCCTAAGACCAGCTGATTCTATTACCTCAACAGTTCTCAAGCCCCTACCCCTAATTCTATTCCCACTGCTAAAGGCCTTAGTTTAAGCCTTCCTAAAGTATCCTTCTGAACTTCTGCCATAGTCTCCCTACCTTAAGTTTTGAAAAATGCACACCTGGTCACTCCCCAATATCGTCTTCCCAGGCTACTTAGTGTGGCACTTGGAGCCTTCTGCATCTGGCCACCTCAAGTGACTTGCTGGACACCAAACGGGCCATGCTAACCCACCCCTCACTGCTACTGCATTCACTGATCCTTGGCCCAGCTGGACCCTTCCCCTGACTTTGATAGGCTAATGCTTCATCCACTTCACACTCTCTGGGATTCCTTGTGTGGCTCTGGACTGGTCTAGTCTGCATGAAATCACAAATATTTCACTGCTTATCCCTCTGACCTAGGCAGACACCAGGAGTCTCCCTGTTTCAGGCGTGCTTAAATTAACCTCTTGTTTGGATGGAGGCACAGTGTACTATGACCCGATGTAGCTCACCCAACCTCTTAATGACTGAACTCAAAGCAAATATAAACGTGCTTCTTCACTGAAAATTGACGGTTTGCGATGAGATTCATATTAATCAATGCTAAGTCTAAGAAAACGTCAGTCAAAACACAGGCAGAGAAGTGCCAAGACATAAAAAGCCAGCAATAGGATAAATGCTGCTGCTATGGTCTGAATGTTTGTATCCCCTCCTCCCAAATTCATGTTACAATCCTAACCCTCAAAGATTATGGTATTGGGGTGGGGGTGGGGCTATGAGAGGTGCTTAGGTCATGAAAGCAGAATCTTCAAGAACGGGATTAGTGTTCTTATAAAAAAGTCATCACAGAGATTCTTTGGTGCCTTGATCTTGGACTTCCCAGCCTCTAGAACTATAAGAAACAAATTTCTGCTATTTATATACCATCCAGTGTGTATTTCGTTATAGTAGTCCAGATGGACTAAGCATCTGCTAAAATATAAAAACAACCAAGAGTTTCTGACAAAATATTAAGTTATCTTTACAAACAATAACATGTACTCTAGTATCTGCTATCTTTGAGGTTTCATGTTGCCCAAAGAATTTAGATTATGATCCATATCCTGTGTTCTTTCCCCAGGCACTGGGCTGGTCCTGCGGATGTAGAGACAGGTAAGATCTTGTCATCAAGGAGCTGGCAGACTAATAGATCTGCAGGAAATAAAAATCTGGCAAAAAAAAAAAAATAATAACTAACACATGATAAAAATAGCAGACACAGGACACAGATGAGGGAGGAGAGGGAAGGGACTGACTGCTTTGAAGGATTAAGGGAAGCTTCAGAAACAGAGTGGTTTCAGCAGAGGGAAGAACAGGTGCAAAGGAACTAGTCTGCACTGCCCTCTGCAGCAGAGGGCGGTGGGCCCAGCTGAACAGGTGGACAAAGGTAAGG